TCCACTGAGTTCCGTTATGTCAACAGAGAAGATGACAATCAGAGTTCGGTTCAAATAACTGTCGAGCACTGTCGAGTGGATCTGAATGTAGTCAAATAGAGATCTCTCACCTGACCATAGTCTTTATTTTTAGGGTTGTAACAAGGATATATGTTTGCGTTTTGATATGTAGCTACTGGTTTTGGGAGTTGGTTAAAATCTCATAATGGATGATTGGTCCATTACAACCGATCAATCATCGAAAATAATTGGTTAGCGTCATTTATCAAATGTTCCTGTTATCTTTGTAAAAAAAAAGGAAAAACATGTAGTAATTTGGGTTTTTTTCAAATTAAACAAAATCCGTAAGCAAATTTTGCATATTTAAAGGATTATTAGTATGTTAGGAACACAGATTTCCTGGATTCTTTAAGATAAATTCAATCATGACTTGGAACGAGCTTGTAGTGCTTATGAAATGTAAATTTAATGACACAGAGAAAACCAACCTTGTGAAAAATATTGTTGATACAAACAAGTGTTCCAAGATTGGTTGCGTTCGATTATGAGAAATCATGTTCGATTGCTTGGTCGTTTAGTCACTGCGACCAATCTTCGATTATTTCAATTAATCGGACCACCACTAGTAGCTACATTCGTCCACCGTTAAATATGTCAGGTATTTTTTTTAAATGAGCGGGTTTAAACCTACAAATACGTCGTCCTTATTCAAACGTTTGCATCATCACCGACCTCAATATGTACCCGCGTACTGGTTGCACATATAAAAAATGTGTGCAGGTTTTAAGTGAACATAGCCCCATCCTGCAATAACACTGACGGCCATTCAATTCCTCACCAGTTTCACTTTGTCTGCAGGGGCAGTGGGGTAGCCTAGTAATTAAAGCGTTCACTCGTCATACCGAATACAGGGTTCGATTCCCCAAATGGGTACAATGTGTGAAGCCCATTTCTGGTGTCCCCCGCCGTGATATTGCTTTGAAATGCGGCATCAAACCACATTCACTCACACTCACTCACTTCGGCTGTGTCGGCTTGTACGTCAAATTAAATCAACGTCACGAAAATGAAATCATATTACTGACAGATGTCGCAATCATTGATGATCGAGCGGTGTCTCTGCGGGCACTTTCACAACAGAAAAAGGGGACATATATGGCGAAAATGATCAGAATAACCCTCTCTTCGTTTTGTTGTCGTAAAATAGAATATTTTCATGACATGTGAAATTCCCAGGACGTTTATCATGTTTCAGTCACCGTTCTTCGACAGCACCACAGCAACACATAGTGAGCTGCGGGCGATGAACCAAGCAGCTACAATTTCAATTGCAGATACCGGCCATCTTGTTTATTTCGCATCAACTAAAAACCGAAACACAATCCTGACTTATGCAACTGTTCAGTTTAATTTATTTTGTTGTGATTGCACGATACAAACAGATCCAATATGATGGGGTGATGAGTTTGATTGTGGGGCTGGTCCGATTGTATTTGTGTGTGTATTGGTGTGTGTGTGTTTGTGTGTGTGTAGGTGGTGGGGGGAGGCGGGGGTATGTGGCGACAGGTGTTTGTGTGTGTAGTTGTGGAGTGGAGGGTCGCTGCAAATTTTTAGTTTAAATGTTTCATTACGGTCACAGTCTCAGAACAAACATGTTGTCCGTGTATACATTCTGTCAGATTTCAGGACATGTCCAAAGAGCAATAATTTATTTCAGATAATATTTTGTATCAGCGCTTTAACAACATAGCAAATGTTTCCATTAATTAGATTAATTAAATCTCGGTAATGAAGACAAAAGATCACATGAAGTGACGTCTAGACGTGCGACACGATAAGGTCTACAAGACGGTATAGTCATGCTGAATAAACGTAGACCGATACACTGATGCACTGTAACACAGGCCCGGGAAGTACCCACACAGAGAGCATTAACAGTCGTGTTGACGCCTTCTTTAACGGTACTTACAACATGAAAGGAGTAATCAATTAACACCCACTCTGACAAAAGCATATATCATCTTGAAATAATTCACTTAATAAAGTATGTCAGTATGGGCTTAATCAGGTGTTTCAGCAACATACCTTTCTACAAATGTAAGTAGTTTCCTCGCCCTGCGGCAAACGGCGATGTATAGATAGATACGTAAAAGGTCTAAGATGTTCGTAATACTGTTTTAAGCTTAAACACCGTATTGGACAGCTAGTAAATATATTAAGAAGCAGCAAGGAGTCTCAGCGTTCTTTCGACATGACCTGGGATACCTTTAAGCTGCCACGGGTAACGCTCAAGGTATGTCACTCATGTTCTTGTAGTCTGGAAAACTTCCTTTAATTGGTGATCATCAACTTTATGTAAATACCATATATATACTACTCCAGTACTTTGCAGGCAACATTACTAATATAATATAAATTCATTTTCTATCATATTCCTTCAGGCCCACACTGATCTGACTTTGTGTTGTGTTGGTATTCCTTTAGGCGCACAGTGATCTGACGTTACATTCATTCGTTGGTTGTGTTGGTATTCCAATAGACGCACAGTGATCTGACGTTGCATTCATTCGTTGGTTGTGTTGGTATTCCTTTAGGCTCACAGTGATCTGACGTTACATTCATTCGTTGGTTGTGTTGGTATTCCTTTAAGCCCACAGTGATCTGACGTTGCATACAATTCGTTGGTTGTGTTGGTATTCCTTTAAGCTCACAGTGATCGGACGTTGCATACAATCGTTGGTTGTGTTGGTATTCATTTAGGCGCACAGTGATCTGACGTTCTATGCATTCGTTGGTTGTGTTGGTATTCCTTTAGACGCACAGTGATCTGACGTTACATTCATTCGTTGGTTGTGTTGGTATTCCTTTAGGCGCACAGTGATCTGACGTTGCATTCATTCGTTGGTTGTGTTGGTATTCCTTTAGGCGCACAGTGATCTGACGTTGCATTCATTGGTTGGTTGTGTTGGTATTCCTTTAGGCCCACAGTGATCTGACGTTGCATTCCGTTGGTTGTGTTGGCGCACAGTGATCTGACGTTGCATTCATTCGTTGGTTGTGTTGGTATTCCTTTAGGCGCACAGTGATCTGACGTTGCATTCATTCTTTGGTTGTGTTGGTATTCCTTTAGGCGCACAATGATTTGACGTTCTACGCATTCGTTGATTGTGTTGGCATTCCTTTAGGCCCACAGTGATCTGACGTTACATTCATTCGTTGGTTGTGTTGGTATTCCTTTAAGCCCACAGTGATCTGACGTTACACTAATTGGTGGGTTGTGTTGGTATTCCTTTAGGCCCACAGTGATCTGACGTTCTATGCATTCGTTGGTTGTGTTGGTATTCCAATAGACGCACAGTGATCTGACGTTACATACAATCGTTGGTTGTGTTGGTATTCCTTTAGGCGCACAGTGATCTGACGTTGCATACAGTCGTTGGTTGTGTTGGTATTCCTTTAGGCGCACAGTGATCTGACGTTACATTAATTGGTGGGTTGTGTTGGTATTCCTTTAGGCGCACAGTGATCTGACGTTGCATTCATTCGTTGGCAGTGTTGGTATTCCTTTACGCCATCAGTAATCTGACGTTGCATCATTCGTTGGTTGTGTTGGTATTCCTTCATTCCGCACAGTGACCTGACGTTGCATTCATTCGTTGGTTGTGTTGGTATTCCTTTAGGCGCACAATGATTTGACGTTGCATACATTCTACGCATTCGTTGGTTGTGTTGGTATTCCTTTAGGCCCACAGTGATCTGACGTTACATACATTCGTTGGTTGTGTTGGTATTCCTTTAGGCCCACAGTGATCTGACGTTACATTCATTCGTTGGTTGTGTTGGTATTCCTTTAGGCGCACAGTGATCTGACGTTACATACATTCGTTGGTTGTGTTGGTATTCCTTTAGGCGCACAGTGATCTGACGTTACATACATTCGTTGGTTGTGTTGGTATTCATTTAGACCAACAGTCATCTGACGTTCCATGCATTCGTTGGTTGTGTTGGTATTCCTATAGACGCACAGTGATCTGACGTTACATACATTCGTTGGTTGCGTTGGTATTCCTTTAGGCGCACAGTGATCTGATGCATTCGTTGGTTGTGCACATTCTTTGATAATGTGCATATGTGTGTGAATTCGTCATGTGGTTTGTTAGATGTGATTCGTTGGTAATTGCCACGTTCTCTCTTTGTACAAATCCCCTTCGTGTTATTCCGATCGGCTTTAATTCCTTTTTCGTATTTCCATACACACTATACTCCATGTTCAGTACTTACAGTCAGACTCACATGGCCAAAGACACGAGGGTGGTTTTGATAATTCATGTCACGAATATATCGCGTAAACTTAACTCGTACGAAAGCCAAGTGCTGCCACTTTTGTGCCGTAAATAAGTCTTTTAGCAATATTTCTTGGTGCGTCAAATATTTTATCACTTTATTGATTATTTACCCGTTTGTTTCAATTGGTATTATTGGAAATATAGAGAAATGTTTGAAATTGGAAAAGGAAAAATATACTCGATATTTCAAGAAATTAATTGAATAACAATAAAACAATACCGAAGTGATGAGAAAATTCGAATGATATATACGTTCCGCAATAAAAATGGCAGCATTGGGCTTACGTAAATTCGGACATAAATGAACAGGTTTTACAATGTTCTTCTATGTCAGGTATTCTGTTTTTTCGTAATTAAATTATAACCCTGTCAATTGTATTTATATAGGCAGAATGTAAACATAGACCGATTTGAGTTTCATCTAACTTTGATGATGACTGAATTAAACGTACTTGGCAGTGGTTGCATGAGTACTTTCGCATAATAACACGATGGACGTCACTCACTCACTCACTCACTGTACGTTGCTCATGGTATCAATCAGTGGATTATCTGGTCAATATTGAATATTTACAGGCTATATCATATAACTGGATTATCGCAGAGGTAATCAATAGATAAACAAGCACAGTATCACTTACGTCCTTGTTTCAGCCGGCGGTGCGTTACGCCGGCCAGCCCAACCAGAGCGGCTTCTTCACCTCCTCCAACCTCAACGGTAAGGCCCTCAGCAGCCGCGACGTCAGCCTTAGCGACCCCTACAAGGATGAGCTGGAGCCGTACTTCAACAGCAACAGCGGCGCCTCCTTCACGAGCTCCATACAGTCATACAAGGACAAGAGGAACATCCGGCGGCGGAACACCATCTTCCTGGTGCTGCTGCTGGTGGGTCTGCTGGGGGTGATTGCCGGCATCACGGCGGCCACACTGTGGAGCATCATCGGCCAACACAATGGTAGGGGGAACACTTGCTTCAAAGGGAACATCTGCTGGGGTGTTGATTATTAAAATCATTTACCATTTAGTGAAGTTGAATAAAAGTGTGAATTGATCCTTCCTCCTGTGGAGTGTGTTATAAACATCCCAGTACGTAATCGTGGTACTCGGAAAGAGAAACGCTGAATTAAGGACTGAAGACTCCATTGGTGATCAATACATTGAGTAGATCAATACTGTCAGTACACATTTTTGTGTACTTGCGTTGGACCACCTTTCACGGTGTGTTTTGTTTTAAACATATTTTATTCATGAGAAAAGGATTGGGTACAAGTTATACAACTTAGAACACCCTCTCCGTAGTATTTACATAGTATTATTTACATTCATTCTACAAGATGGACAGAGAAGAACAGAACAGAAATATGGGAAAAAGAGGAACAATTGCAACAATTAAGAAAATCGTTTTGAATGACAAATGTATGTTTGAACAATTTTAAATATGTTTTGATTTATGTGAACAGTCAGATCTGTATTGCCATGTAATAGTAACTCATAGGTTATATCCACATTTGTAATGCTGCGTAAAATTAGTCATCACGGTAGTTCTCTGTACTGTATATAATTGACAGTCAAATAGGTAATGATAAGAATTTTCACAAACATTTCGACAAGAACAACTTGGGTTATCTCTTAAACCAGCACGGAATAGATCATAATTCAACTGACTACACATGTAACGTAGTTTTGTAAGGATGATGTAAGTGATTCTCGGTCCAGAATCAAAGTATTGAGGAGCAGCTTTATGTTTTATAACAATATTCGATATAAAAGAATTCAATGACTCGCTTTTTCTCACTTCAACTGGAAGTTCATTCCACATTCTAATTGTGGATGAAAAATAAGAATCATACGAAAATTTTAATCGCGAGAAAGGAAGTGAGACATCATCAGAGTTGCGAAGATTATAGCTACATTTAGATGCTACGTCCCCAGGAACAAGATCAATAAGGTACGATGGTGCCATATTATTCTGTATGTTGTAAAAAAGGCAAAGTTTACGCTTTCTCCTACGTTCTGCTAAAGATTCCCAACCGGTATCATAATACAGATGTTCATGATGAGTATATTTAGGTAAACCTGTTACAATTCTTGCTGCTTCTAATTGCAGTTGTTCTAATTTATTTGCTTGATATTGAGCACATCCATCCCATACTTCACACGCATATTCGAAATGGGGTCTTATGAACATTACGTAATTTCTATTCAATACAGAGCGCGGTAATAAAAATTTGAGTTTACGTAGAGAAGATATCATTTTTGAAGTTATTTTTACAATATTATCAATATGGTCAGACCATTTACAATCTTTTGAAAATGTTAATCCCAAATGTTTATGATTATTAACTGTTTTGATACAAACCCCGTTAAGGTAGAGATTTAGTGCATCAACATTCTTTTGCAAAGAGAAAGAAATTGCCTCAGTTTTATCAGGATTGTATGTTATAAGCCACCGCTTTGCCCAAGACCACAGCCTTTCCAAGTTTGAATTCAAATATCTTTCAATGAATAGACGATCATGAGAAGATAAGCCAAGAGACGAATCATCAGCAAATAATCGTGTCAAGCAGTTTAAATCATTAGCAATATCATTGACATAAACAAGAAATAAGAAAGGACCGAGGACTGACCCTTGAGGGACACCAGCTTGTAAATACCCCGGCTTGGATAGGGCTGTTTATATAAACACATTCATCGCTATCGGTAAGCATGTAATAAAATGTTTCCTTAAGGACCAAGTATCTGTAACTGTGACTGTAGATATATTTGTTGATGGAGCGCCAATCATAATCGTAGGGATAATATGACACAATGCGGCAACAATAGTCGACTGCAGTCCTGGCAGCCTGACATCTAAACGTAACCGACCGAAGGGTTAGACTAGCTAATGTCCTTGATGAAGGTCAACGTATCCAAATTGCCTAGATGCTCATGATGTCATCACTGGATTATCTGGTGCAGACTGCAGAGTCGATTATTTACAGACCACCGTCATACAGCTGGACTATTGTGGAGTGTTACGTTAATCAACAAGCAAAACAATTGGTTATTGATACAATTGTCCCAAAAATAACACAAACATGGCCAACGGTCAGTGGTAATGATGGTACTGTCCTACTTATGTCCTTCTCTGTCTGCAGGAGCTATATCAGGACGACTAGAGAACCCTCTGGCAGGAGGGGCGAATACTGGTTCCGGAGCCACGTCTACAGTAGGCACAGCAGCGGAATCAACCACTGTCCTTCCGTCGACTGAAGGTGACTCCAGAATCGGAAATATTATAGACGGAACTGGCTTGGTCTCTTCAACTGGGTCTACCATCACCGGCCAAGGAACGTCTTTAGGTTCAACCCATGTGTCTTCATCCGCACCAGCAACATCTGGCGTTGATGCAACCCTTCCAGTGTCTAGTGTAAATGGCTTATCCACATCACCTATACAAAGTCAAGACGTCACTGGTCAACACTCAACTGACCATATGGCTGGTAGGAATACTTTAGCTAGTTCTAAACCAAATATATATCAGTCATATAGTTTAGATTCTCAAACGAGTTCCCAAATACGACTGACACTTCATTATCCCTCCTCAGTGAATAGTGGCACATATTATATTGTATCACACACGTCGTCACCACAATCCTCCCACATCTCGCCCAGTACCCAACCTCAACACATCCACATGTCACCCACTGCAACCATAACACTCCCAATGCATAATACTCTCCTCGCTGTGACTCACCCTGTGTCCGTTACTAATACACACCTTACCTCCTCTTTGCGTGACGTTAGTGAAGGGCTTGGTGGATTGACAGGGGCCAGCGTGGACATGAGTGTACAGAGTAGGTCCGTTGAAACTGCATCCTTGGCTCCTTCTAATACTCTAACCTCGGGGGCTGATGCAAGTGCTTCTTTATATGCATCACGTGGTTCTGACGCGGCCGGAAGCGGAACAGGTGCTTCTAGTTCTGTTGGCAGTGGATCCGGTGGGTCGGGTGAATCAACAACTTTGGCGCCTTCGAATACTATAGGCTTTGATGCTAGTGATGTTTTGGGAAGATCTAGCAATTCCAACTTTGGCGGTAGTGGATCAATGGGTTCTAGTGTTGTCGAGTTAGGTGGATCATCCACTTTACTTCCTTCTAATAGTCTAGGCTTTAGTGGTGAAGTAGCTTCTGTTTTAGGTGGGTCAGCTAGTCCTGACGCTGGTGGTAGTAGAACAGGTGGGTCAAGTGGAACCTTGGCTCCTTCTGATACTCTGGGGTATTCAAGTTCTGGTGTGAATGAATCAAGTGGTTTTAGCGCGAGTGGTAGTGAATCAGGTGGATGGTCTGGAACAGCAACATTGGCTGCTTTGAATTTTCCAGGTTTGGGGGGAGATGCAAGTGCTGTTTTAGGTGGATCAGGTGAATCTACAGGTGGTTCTAGCACGGTTCATAATTTGTCTGGTGGGTCGGGTGGATCAGCAACCATGGCTCCGTCTCATACTGTAGGTTTTGTGGCTGATTCAAATGCAATCATCGACAGCTCAAGCGCTTCAAGCGTGCTTAGGAGCGAGTTATTTGTCTCGGGTGGAACATCAACCGTGCTTCCTTCTGATACACGAAGCTTTGGAGATTATGCAAGTTCTAGTTTAGGTGGATCCAGTGCCTATAACGAGGGTGGTAATGTTATAAGTGGGTCAGACGTAACAGCCATCTTGACTCCTTCTAATACCTTTAGGCACTGGGGGTGATGCAAGTGTTGGTGCAGGTGAATTAAGTGGTTTGAGCCCAAGTGGTAGTGGATCAAGTGGATCTGGCGCGAGTGGTAGTGTTACACTTGGGGCGGGTGGAACAGTCACTTTCACTCCTTCCAATACTCTAGGCTTTGGAAGTGATGCAAATTCTGATGTAGGTGGAGCAAGTGGTTTTAGTGCGGGCGAGTCAGGTGGAACAGCCGCCTTTGCTCCTTCTAATACTCTAAGCTCTGAGGTTGATAAAGGTATGTTGTAGGTGGATCAAGTGATTCTAGCGCGAGTAGTAGTGTCACACTTGGGTCAAGTGAAACAACCACCTTGACTCCTAATACTCTAAGCTCTGAGGTTGATGCCAGTGCTGGTGTAGGTGGATCAAGTGGTTCTAGTGCGGGCGAGTCAGGCGGAACAGCCACCTTGGCGCCTTCTAATACTCTAAGCTCTGAGGTTGATGCCAGTTCTGGTGTAGGTGGATCAAGTGGTTCTAGCGCGGGCGAGTCAGGTGGAACAGCCACCTTGGCGCCTTCTAATATTCTGAGCTCAGAAGTTGATGCCAGTTCTGGTGTAGGTGGATCAAGTGGTTTTAGCGCGGGCAAGTCAGGTGGAACAGCCACCTTGGCGCCTTCTAATATTCTGAGCTCTGAGGTTGATGCCAGTGCTGGTGTAGGTGGATCAAGTGGTTCTAGCGTGGGCGAGTCAGGTGGAATAGCCACCTTGGCGCCTTCTAATATTCTGAGCTCTGAGGTTGATGCCAGTTCTGGTGTAGGTGGATCAAGGGGTTTTAGTGCGGGCGAGTCAGGTGGAACAGCCACCATGACTCCTTCTTATACTCTGAGCTCTGAGGTTGATGCCAGTTCTGGTGTAGGTGGATCAAGTGGTTCTAGTGTAGTCGGTAGTGGATCTGAAACTGTTGATGGAAGCCAATCTGGCGGAACTGCAACTTTGTCACCCTCACATAGTCTAGGTATCGAACGTGATGCCAATGCCGGCTTAGGTGGAATTGTCGGTTCTGTAGGTGGAACTGGTTCAGGTGCTGACGGCAGTGTGGTAAGCAGCACAGCTATCTCTGCAACTGGTTCGTTTGATACTGCCAGCATCGTGTCGTCAGGAGCAGGTCAAGGCTACAGTAGTGTGAGCGGTGATGGAAATATGTTATATCCAACGGCACTAACTTCCCTTCCCGACTCATATACCCCCACTGAGCAAACATTGTCTGTTTTGGACAACACGTTTACAGCTTTTGTTTTTACGCCAGGTTCTGCTATATCAGGAAGTTTGGGGTCAGGTTCCGCTGGTGGTAGTGCGGGATCAGATAGTGGAACCAGGACCGTTGCTTCAGACCATCTACATGGCTCTGCATCTAACACGCTTGTCGCAAATAGCCTCTCAGTGGGAACCGTAAACACGTTACCAGTTTCAGCTGTGACATTCTCTCACTTGCTTGGTGGAACGGAAAGTATTGTAGCATCAGCTTCCAGTGTCTATAGTGATTCAGCTTCCATCAGTCGAAATGATGAGACGTCTTCAGATGAAAGTCACCTGTCTTCGTTTCAAACAATGACTGTCGGGGATACATCTGCAGTTGCTTCAGCTAGTCCATCTTCTCAGCTTGATGCAAGTCTTTCTGCTTCTTCTGGTGTAGATACTGCTTCAGAGTTTGGTCAGAGTAACAGTTTCATATCTCAAACGGCATCTGTAAGTGCTACTGGGTGGCTGGATTCACAAACAGGTAACATCGGCGCGTCAGTCACACACAATGGAACAGGGGTGTACTCACAATCGCCAACAGTAGGTTCTCAAGATACGGCCAGTTCTTCTTTAGGAGGGACCGTTAATGGATTAACATCATCAGCTGTGTTACGTACTGCAGTAAACAGCGGGCAGGGGGTTACACAGAGTCTTGGGGCTAGCAGTATGAACAGCAACACTCCCTTACTTCAACCGTCTTCACAACCCATCAGTGATCTGGCAATGACAACCACAGTCTTTGACAGTGCAACGGCTACACCACTCATGGGTTCTGGTGCCACTGCTGTAACAAGTGGGGTGGGGTCAGGTGCCACTGCTGTAACAAGTGGGGTGGGGTCAGGTGCCACTGCTGTAACAAGTGGGGTGGGGTCAGGTGCCACTGCTGTAACAAGTGGGGTGGGGTCAGGTGCCACTGCTGTAACAAGTGGGGTGGGGTCAGGTGCCACTGCTGTAACAAGTGGGGTGGGGTCAGGTGCCACTGCTGTAACAAGTGGGGTGGGGTCAGGTGCCACTGCTGTAACAAGTGGGGTGGGGTCAGGTGCCACTGCTGTAACAAGTGGGGTGGGGTCAGGTGCCACCGCTGTAACTGGCTGTGCCACTGCTGTAACAGTGGGGTGGGGTCAGGTGCCACTGCTGTAACAAGTGGGGTGGGGTCAGGTGCCACTGCTGTAACAAGTGGGGTGGGGTCAGGTGCCAACTGTAACAAGTGGGGTGGGGTCAGTGCCACTGCCAAGTGGGGTGGGGTCAGGTGCCACTGCTGTAACAAGTGGGGTGGGGTCAGGTGCCACTGCTGTAACAAGTGGGGTGGGGTCAGGTGCCACTGCTGTAACAAGTGGAGTGGGGTCAGGTGCCACTGCTGTAACAAGTGGGGTGGGGTCAGGTGCCACTGCTGTAACAAGTGGAGTGGGGTCAGGTGCCACTACTGTAACAAGTGGGGTGGAGTCAGGTGCCACTACTGTAACAAGTGGGGTGGGTTTTGAGACAATATCAGCACATGTTCAAACAGGTTCACTTCTAAACACTGCTTTGAGTAATGGCGTGACTGATTCTTTAATGACTGCAAGTCAAGCGTTTACTGGAATTACAGATATTAACACAGATGCCACAATAACGCCAAACACACAACCCACTGATTCCATTCCATATTCAACACACACACTTTCTACAAATGATGAATCTGTGTATGACGCCAGCGACAGGAGCATGTCGACAGGTCAAGGTGGTGTTGGTGATGTTACCGATGTTGATGCCATGATAGCCACAGGTACAATAAGCGATAGTGTTTTGGTTAGTGTATGGGCAAGTACGGTGACAGGTGCAGCAATGCCTACTGCTGCTACTGTTAGCATGGGCGACACGAATCGTATATTGGCTTCAAGTGATAGTTCCTTGATGAGCCTGTCCAGTAGTATGGCGACAGCTCCTGTGGATGGCAACAGCCTGAATATTATCTCAAATACTCTATCTCAAAGTGTAGTAGCCAGCAGCCCCATGAACGTAGGGTTGAGCAGTAACGTGTTAAAAAGCATAAATTTATTGTCCAGCAGTGATGTGTTGGGCAGTATGAATTTGGGATCGAGCAGTACAGTGTTAGACAGCATGAATTTAGGATCGAGCAGTACAGTGTTAGACAGCATGAATTCAGGATCGAGCAGTACAGTGTTAGACAGCATGAATTTAGGATCGAGCAGAACAGTATAGCAGTAGTTAGACAGCATGAACTTAGGATCGACAGTACAGTGTTAGACAGCATGAACTTAGGATCGAGCAGTAGCTTATTAGACAGCAGCATGAATTTGGGACCGAGCACTTAGGATCGAGCAGTAGTTAGACAGCATGAATTTAGGATCGAGCAGTACAGTGTTAGACAGCATGAATTTAAGATCGAGCAGTAGTTTATTAGACAGCATGAATTTAGGATCGAGCAGTACAGTGTTAGGTGGCATGAATTCAGGATCGAGCAGTAGCTTGTTAGACAGCATGAATTTAGGATCGATCAGTAGCTTGTTAGATAGCATGAATACTATGTCGAGCAGCATTGTGACAGACACGTATACTGAGTCAAGCTCTGCCCTTGAGGGCACACCGTCTGTGGCATCATACTCAGACGGGCAGACAATCGACAACAGCATGCAAGCTAGTGTTGGTGCCAGCATGTCGGCTTTAGATGGTGTTAGTTCTGTAAATAGCATGGATTCAAGTAGTAGTGCGTTGGCAAGCATGCCGGACCTGAATTTGCTTTCGTCGACCAGCCTCGAAGAAAGCGTGCATGCAAGCATGGCTCCAAGCACTGTACAAACAGGCATGGTGACCACATCAGAGACTATTGGTGTGGCAGTTAGTAGCATGGATGGAAGCATGGTTACTATGGCTACCGGCCACACGCAGACAAGCATGTTAGAGCCTTCTGCTTCCATATCTACCGCATACAACAGCATGGACGGAAGCATGATAACTATGGCAAATGGAAACTCACAAGCAAGCATGGCAGATGCGTCAAATACTTTATCTAGCAGCATGGACGTCAGCATGGACGGCAGCATGGCTACACAAGCAAGCGTGGTAGATGCGTCAAATACTTTATCTAGCAGCATGGACGGCAGCATGGCTACACAAACAGGCTTGGTAGATGCGACTGTCAGTACACCATTCAACAGCCAGGATGTGAGTATGACTTCTATGGTTACTGGAGACGGACAAACAAGCATGGTGGGCGGTGGCATGTCATCAACAACATCTGTGGATACACAGACCAGCATGATCGATCCATCATCTACTCTTGCTACAGCGCTCAACGGCATGGACGGATCTGCGACAACAACTCCAGGAGCAGCTTCTCCTGGTGAATCTGGAACTACAAGACTGACTACATCTGTCAGCACGGCTACAAGCCTCGAAGGTGGCAGTGTTGTAACCAGCATGATGGGGTCTTCAACGATGGATTTGCTGATGTTACCGCCTCTACAGATACCATGCCTACCAGTGCAGCCGACGGCATCAACGGTGCCATCACATCTTTGGCATCAGACAGCAGTGTAACATCTGATGGAGTGTCAACATCGACAGGTATACTTCCTTCAACTGTAGCAGCGTCTATTGAAGGAGTTACTACAGCTGCTACAGGTGGAAGTATACAAGCGTCGTCGGCGACAGGTACAATAGCTCCTTCATCAACTCTAGCTGTAGGTGAGTATGTTTGTGGATTCTTGTTTGTAAATTGTACATGATACTCGCGCAGGATGGGGTTTTATTTGTTCACAGATTGAGACAATCGTAATCAGTCTCCGTAAGTATTTCATTGGACTAATCTATAAACTTTGATAAACAAAATGTTCGAGAAATCTAGGTTGCAAAACATATATCCCATTGTCTGCCTCAGCAGATGATAGGGCTATAAGTAAACTGATATTCCTGATGTTTAGAACCCTCCTCGGCAGTTGTGTCAACTACACCGACAACAACATCAGTCACGACGACAAGTCAAACAACAACGACAACAACTACTCGTGCGCCGGGTGAGTCCTGCAGGTTGATACCTGTTCATGTACTCAATACTTGATACTGTTCCAAAGTATTCCATCTCCTCCATGTCAGAATAGAGGTCAACAACTCAAGGACTTTAGTACTGCTTCATGATGCACAATTTATGAAATACAGAATCGGACCCTTTTTGAAAGTAGACCGCTGTTTCTTTGGTACTTAGTATTTCCCAGTTTGTTTAACGCCAGATGATTGACGGCGACCGGTAAGCAATGTTCTAATTAATTATTGTAAGGGTAGCACAAATTGTAGTATTCCTAAGATTCCTCAGGTCTCACTGCATGATATTGATATGTCGATATTAGACCCAAGAACAGATCATAATCCCCCTTTAACTCATATTGGGCTGTCAGAGACCTAGTCTTCCAATTCTCCCAGGCTGGTTTTCCAGTTGGTTGGAATGTGTGTAAATGATGTTACTGACATTGCTATGTTTGAAGTTATCACGATGTCGAACCCGCCTGCTCTGCTACACACGGAAACCTCCGTCTCCTGCACGCTACAAGGTGAAGGCTGGAGCTTGGTCGGGTTCTTCCAGGACTTCGAAGGACGTTACCGCGCCATTGCCGGCTTCACCGCTGACAACAACGACAACGTCTTCCTGAGTCATGGTCTCTCCTCCAGTCGGTACAACGACACCAACACCACTACATTCGTCATCACCTTTGACAACGTCACTTGTGAGCAGGACACACTCTACCTCTGCGCTGCTAGTTTTCCTAATGCGAGTATAAGCGACCGTGGCAGACTGCAGGTCACGTGTAAGTAGCATATGTTTACAATTTGTTATCCAGATTCGAATCATACAGTTTCAAAGTTAATATTGATCACGATTGACTACCTTGAATGTCAGATATACGTGTGTCGGATGTTCTTCATATATGTGTATTGGATATCTGTTGTTTGAGAGTGAACCCAATGTACGTTCCAGATTTGGAGAATCGAACTCCAAATTACTGCAGTAACTGTTTGGGCTATTGGGGGATTTTGTAAGCCAGTTTCCTCTCTGAAGCCGAAGACTCGGGTTCGATTCTCCACATGAGTTCAATGTTTGAAGCACATTTCTGGTGTCCCCCCGCCGTGGTATTGCTGGAGTTGTGCTGAAAACGGCGTAAAACTAAACTCATTCTCTGAAAGTTCCAGCAGAAGAAGACAAATTTACTTTTGCTAGAAAAGAGTAATATATGGGAAAGTTATTTAAATATTTCTTAATAACTACTTTCTGGAGGAAGTGATTTTAAAAACTTATACACCGCAAACAGACCGACAAGACAAGTACAAATGTTCAGTCCGTTTCACGAGGAAATACTATTTATCAGTGTTAGTCACTTCACGGAGTCCTCTGCAGATCAGCGAATGACTCACGTAACCCTTGTGCGCCAATACAAAAGGTAACTGACATAATCTCTACTTCCTTCTATTCAGTGCCTCCTCAACCGCCGGTTGTCACGTACCCAGGAGATATTCAAGAAAGCACCCAAGTCACTCTGACCTGTGAGGCAACCGTTATAACAACCGATGGCGACCTCTACTGGGCTATCAAGCGTCCAGGGGAGACAACCTTTGCTCAAAAGGACTTCGCGGATGACACCCGGACCGAGACACAGGGGGGTTGCACAAAGACGATTACTCACACATTGACAACATCTTTTGACATAAGTTATAACGGGACTGAGATCCGATGCCAGTCGTCTAACCCCGATGACGTGTCTTCCGCTAACACATTGTTAATCGTTCCTTGTAAGTATTGCACTTAATTTTCTTACAGTATTTTGTCTGATAGTTGCATATATTTTATATTTGACATAATGTAAAACGAAATTGAAACCTAGTTGATTTACATTTACGTTAAAATATATTAGAACGACATATATAATGCTGTTATACAATTTACAGATTGAGCAACTGTGTGTGATCTGTTTTTCGACATGAGATCCTTGATCTCAAACTTTGACACTTGCACTTTGATATATATGCATATAGATGTATGTACATATACGCCACGCACATATATAGTACTTACTGTGTGTATCAAATTAATAATAACAACTACTAATCTACACATTTATCAGAATATTATGTTACTTGGAAGTTGTGAATATTTAAAGACTGAATATGGATATAAACCATAAATACATTATGATACAACTTAATTCTGGGGACGCATTTGTCCAACAACTCTCTGCGCTGTGGCAAGTGTCTGACAAAAGATTTTACGCAATTCAGTATTCTATATTCAACGATATTACGGAGGATGAAAAAATGAAACAAAATGTTTTGGAAAACTACGTTAACTATGTCGAATACTGGTCCTCGTGTAGAGTCAAGGTAGAGAATACTGGTCCTCGTGTAGAGTCAAGGTAGAGAATACTGGTCCTCGTGTAGAGTCAAGAGTGAGAGAATACTGGTCCTCGTGTAGAGTAGAGAATACTGAGTCAAGGTAGAGAATACTGGTCCTCGTGTAGAGTCAAGGTAGAGAATACTGGTCCTCGTGTAGAGTCAAGGTAGAGAATACTGGTCCTCGTGTAGAGTCAAGGTAGAGAATACTGGTCCTCGTGTAGAGTCAAGGTGAGAGAATACTGGTCCTCGTGTAGAGTCAAGGTAGAGAATACTGGTCCTCGTGTAGAGTCAAGGGTAGAGAATACTGAGTCCTCAGAGTCAAGGTAGAGAATACTGGTCCTCGTGTACTGGTCCTCGTGTAGAGTCAAGGAGGAGAATACTGGTCCTCGTGTAGAGTCAAGGTAGAGAATACTGGTCCTCGTGTAGAGTCAAGGTAGAGAATACTGGTCCTCGTGTAGAGTCAAGGTAGAGAATAAGTCAAGTGAGAGAATACTGGTCCTCGTGTAAAGAGTCTAGAGAATACTGGTCCTCGTGTAGAGTCAAGGTAGAGAATACTGGTCCTCGTGTAGAGTCAAGGTAGAGAATACTGGTCCTCGTGTAGAGTCAAGGTAGAGAATACTGGTCCTCGTGTAGAGTCAAGGTAGAGAATACTGGTCCTCGTGTAGAGTCAAGGGAGAGAATAAGGTCAAAGGAGAATACTGGTCCTCGTGTAGAGTCAAGGGAGAGAATACTGGTCCTCGTGTAGAGTCAAGGGAGAATACTGGTCCTCGTGTAGAGTCAAGGTAGAGAATACTAGTCCTCGTGTAGAGTCAAGGTAGAGAATACTGGTCCTCGTGTAGAGTCAAGGTAGAGAATACTGGTCCTCGTGTAGAGTCAAGGTAGAGAATACTGGTCCTCGTGTAGAGTCAAGGGAGAGAATACTGGTCCTCGTGTAGAGTCAAGTGAGAGAATACTGGTCCTCGTGTAGAGTCAAGGGAGAGAATACTGGTCCTCGTGTAGAGTCAAGGGAGATAATAACTTCATGCTTTTCGGATTTTCAAAGCAATTGTGTTAACATGTCTCACGACACATAAGTCAACTTAGTTTACTTAAATCCACAAATTTACAGTTATTGAAATATCTCGTATTATGAGCATCTGAACAAAATAGAATAATGTATAATATTGTGATCAAAATAATGAAAATGAATAATTTAGTTTTAGGATTCGCATAAGCTGAATCGAACTCAAATTTTAACCACAGAATGTTGTTCCTATGTTTTATCCCACGTGGCGTGGTGTTATAAATGCAGATCTCAGTATGTGATAATTGTAACTGCACTAGCACACTCACTATATATTCACGTATATCTTTATACTCTGGCACCTGCTTTGTACTTTATATATATATCGATTCCATTAGTTCACAATGTATATGTCAAGCAGTTAACATAGCTGGATTGACCTATTCCTAGTTATCTCCCTTTATACATTTTCTTTCACGACTTGTAACCTCCATTTCGCTTCAGCTAACTTGTGCGATTCCTACCCTGCTAATTCTCTGGTTACTCATCCCTATGACTGTAACAAATATATCACCTGTATACCCGGAGCTCGGCTAACACAGAGATGCCCTGGCTCTCTATGCTTTGATCAGGACATACAGCAATGCGTGGAAAATACCAACAGCCAAGGTAACGTATGACAGTTACTTCCGTCTCTGCATGCCAGGATGGCGAGAGGTTTGAATCTCTTTGCAGCGACACCCTCACTTTCAGGTGGCGAATGGGTGCACGCATTGAAATGGAGCTTTGGAAAGGCGCACTTTTTATTTGATCTTGTTGGCACGCTAAGCTAATAATGATATATTTTTTAAATCACTCTGGGCTATATAAAATATGTTTTAAAATGTTATCTTCGATGAATGGCAAGGTAAGACTTTTTTTCTTATTCGTTTCATGAATGGGAAATTGTTTGTTTCACTTTTAAATTTCTATGGGCCCGTGTCTTGTACGACAAAGAAACTTTAACGCCCATTGGATGTAACACTTTGATGACCAACACAAGGCTCGGTATATCTTTAAAAGTAACTATTCATGAAGCGAATAATGATTCACCATCTCCCCAGCCTCCACGGACACTCAAGGGCGATGTAATTTGACTGACTCTGTTATCACATACTTTTAAGGATGATACTATCAGTAAATGTTGAGATACGGGGCGATCAATATAATCTATGAAGATACGTGTCAGAGTCTGTCAAAATGTACACCCTCTTCGTGAACGTGAGAACCATGCACTCAAACATGTTGATATGCGACTAACTCTTCTGGCTATCTTTCAGGATGATCACGTGAGTATTGTTCGCAGTATTGATCTCTGTCTCAGCTTATTAGCTTATAGTACCGGCCCCGATTTCTCGAAACAAACTCAAGTCTGAGTTTTGACTTAAGTTCGAGTTTTTACTCAAATCTGAGAAAGCGCAGGAAAATGCATTCCACAGAATGAACTGAAATTGGTATTAAACTCAAACCATAGAAGACAATTTGAGTTTGGTGGGTAGATTACTTAAGTTGTTTGGGCTTTTTATGTTTTGAAAATGCAGTTGAGTTAAAAATTCAGCTGTTTCAAATTGTGAAACTCAGTTTGAGATTTGAGTAAAAACTTAAGTTTGTTTCGAGAAATCCGGGCCTGATGTTGCTTACTGTTAAATACATACTGCTTACTGTTCACATAGGGACATAAGTGACTGTACAGAGCACTTTGGTAGGTGATCGTTAATTTGTGAGGTACACTTAAGAGGTGAGCCTAAGAGCCTATGTCTTGATGATGTGAGAACACAGATTTAGTAGCACATTAAAGGTGATAAAAGGTGTTTCCCGATGTCACTGTTAAACGCCATTCACACAATGATCAATATAGAGTAATGGAAAGTGTTGGTAAGAGTGTAAGAACTCCGTGTAAGAGACACGCCATGGTATAGCAGTGTACATCATGCTGACACCTCACGTGTCATATTCATTGTCTTCACCAATGTCAACAATACCATCTTGGGAATGCCATAACCAGACCTTTCATGGGGAATACGTTCAGTTCCGCTCAGGGACACTGAGTTTATATGACTCATTTGACGGCAGAACGAGTATATTTCACTGAGTGTCTACAGATAGCAAGTAGTGTTATCTCTTAACGTAACCTCCTTAGGATGAGAAAGCCACACTAACTCGGTGCGCCTAGTGGCAGCAAGAGTTGTATACTCCCCAGGGAGTTGAGATTGATAATACGATGTGCTGTTGAGATTGACATCCAATGATCGCGGGGAAAAATACCAGCGCCTTGAGCATGCACTGGTTGCGTGGATATCTGCGCTATATAAATATCCTATAATAGATAACTGTGAGTAGTGCTGATGTGTAGATTGCAGTTGACATGTTAATAAGTTGTCGCTCTGTTACATGCAGCTGTACTGTAGATAGACGAAAGCTGTTGTAGTACAGTGTAAATGTGTTAGAATAGACATTAGAACATTATAGTTTGCAGTAACACTGGAAGTAGAATACTGACAAGAAATGTGGCTTACAGAGTGAACGTTCAAGGAGAACAATGTGAAGTGGGTGTAAAGGGAGGTTACTCTTCCGACAATACTGTGTAATAAACAGGGTCCAGTGAAAGCGCCTTGACACTGTAACTCCGATATGAATTTTGTGTAATTATTCATACTTGTGTTAAATAAGGAACATTTTTTTCAGCTAATACGCAAATTATTTTCAGAAGAATCAGTATAATGTTATGTTTATGTACACAATTTAAATCGATTAGTTTGTTTGATGTTCTAAGTATTAATATTTGTTTTAAAGACTGAAATTTGGCTACAGAATAGGCAATGCATCAAAAGTGATGTCTGCAAAAAGCAAGAAAAGAGACATTTTGGAAGAATAGAATCATTGTATGTTTCACCGATTATGTAATGATGACTATTTGATAACATTTTTTTTCTAAATGTAGAAGATTATTAGATTAAGGTGTAACAATTCTTTATTTGGTGACCTTGCTGAGGTTATATAAGAGCATGACCCTCACGGTGTCCTTCTCTCTGTTCAGGATCGGCGAACGACGACCCCTACAGCTGCGACGGCAAGACTAACGGCGCCTACATCCCATGGCGGGGTTCGTGTACGAAATACGCATGGTGTGTCAATGGCCAGCCGATTGAACAGACATGCGCAACGGGAACCTATTATACTCAGTTCGTTGGACCTTGTACCTTTGACAGAGCATCGGCATTTTGTGATGAATCCCAACTCGTGTGATAGTGAAAGTGATTCTGATTGGTTGACTTTTATAAAGCGCATGCCTACTTCGAGTATGCCTACTGTACATATACCTACTTCCCACATGCCTACTGATCTATGGAACAGACTGGGTTGAAATCCATAAAACCAAAGTACTATTGTGACACCATAGTGATATTACGGGAATGGGTCACTGCCATGCTGGTGGAGTGGATGAGTGAGTGAGTGAGTTTAGTTTTACGCCGCTTTAGCAATATTCCAGCAATATCACGGCGGCGGACACCAGAAATGAGCTTTATCGTGAGTGATACCTCATTTCAGTATCAAAATGTAACGATCTCCATTTGGAGAATGAAACCACGTATAACTGACTCAAGTTTTACAGACACCGGGTGTTTAACCACATTGTAGGTACATCGCTACCTTCGTGTTCGTGTTTTGTCATATAGTGAGTGAATAAGAGACTGCAGTTTGTTCGCAATGTTTCCATGAAGACGTTCTGCTCAGAAGCAACATATGGACACAGACCAGCATGGGTTAGTTATCAGACCAATGGGCACCTGGTATATTCTCGAGATGCTGGTTGATGATGCTGGTGTCGTGGTGGTGCACGTATGCGTCGTGGTGTGTTGCTCCGCGTGTACAGAAGTCTCTACAGTGAAGGGACACACACGGGTCTTGATTCATTATGTGCCGCATATTGTCAGGTCACGTGCGTGAGATCACCTCCAGGGTTATCTCGTGTGGCAGGTACACAAGGGACGAAGCGTTTCACAAATAAACAACGCATGCTGAATCGTAGAGACGCCCAGATCTAAAATGAATGTACATACCAACATTCTGAGTGTGGGTGGCATCGCGAACTTCTGCATACTGGCAACGGCACAGGCCATGTCACTGGGTGTCACGCAGCTGTCCTGTCACGGGGTCTCTTGCACGTGCACTGTGGCAGGTTGTGTCATGTGATGCAGTTTGTTACAAAAGTGAAACTACAATCCTGCACTCACATGAAATGCCAATGTTTTGGTAATGTGGTTCAACATTGTCTTGTATTTATTACTGAAATGCCTTTGACATCCATTGTCTCTGTTTACTGTTACGCACTAATCTCGTGCCCCTGTTGAAAATGAAGTCCCGGTGACTTTTCGAGTTTAGTTTATTTTATCATTACCCCTTCAACCCATGATAACTTTTTCAAGAACTCTAACCTTTGTTGTTAATTTAGACCTTAAAATGTTAGTAACGTGTTTCATTCAGAATATATATGGATCGACAGAGACAGGTTCAACATTTCAGATAACCCAGGTGTCAGCAGTATCTAGATTTACTACAGTGATTATTGTTTTGCGTGGTATTGAGATGGGGGACATAGCAGTATTCCAAATGTACACATGTTTTGTGTGTAAAACCTGCTCTTCACAAATAAAAGTCCAACACCAACTTCCCCATCCGGGGAAGAGCCAGTGGCTGGTACCCCAATCGATATATCTGAATTATCACTTTCGTTATTGTTATTTCGATACGTTATGTCCATGTAATTTCATTAAACGTTATTTATCTTTTTTACGATCTAATGTAATGGATAACTGCTTATTCTATACTGTATATAAGCCAGTATGTGTTCATTGTGTACATTATCTGTTGCTATCAAAGACTATTGACATTTGTATAATATTATCTTGTATTATAAATATTTTTATATAAAAACTGTCTTTGTTGTGGTTGTTTATGTGGAATGTTTTCATCCCACATTCGTTGAGGATCTTCAGAAAGATATATGTTTCTGTTGTATAAGGTGTGGGTAGCAGTTTGGATGTTAACTCGAATCCATTCATTTGGTTAGTTCCTTCCTTGGCATCAAAAGTCCAAATGAAATTTCTATTCAAAAGAAATATATATGCCATTTGTTCCTGCTGAAATTGAAATATGAACACTGATTTCCTTTCGAAAATGAAGTGTTTTTGAAAGCACGATTTTTTCCCGATGAAACAAGATAATTTTTCTGTCCATATTTAGAGGTTATGGTTTAGGAAATTTAGATTTTACACTCCGAGGCTAAAGAGTTCCCCAATACCCATAACTGGGATAAATAGGGATAACCAAATAATAGGGTACGTGTTGCTACAATACCGTCATCGTCAAACGCACGTTGGGATCGATGGTAACGGTTACCACTGGTCTCCCCGGACCGGTCCCAAACTGCGGCGTAAAATAGTATTCAAATTCAATACACAGATGTAAATCGTGGTAATGCTGGTCCCATACTGTCGGCCCGAGTGCATGTAGCTGCAATACTATATTGCGGTAGAACATAATAATCAGTTTCCAAGTGTTAAGTTTCTGCTTTGAGCGTGCCCCTCCGCGGCGCGGAATTCAGCGCATTACAAATGCCCTTGTTATTAATATTATTATTATTTACGCAAATGTAAATGCCATGCAGTGGGTGTTACTAATTAAGGAATGATGGATGTCACTGTCGTTGCTATGAGTAAGCCAGTTACATGTTGAGGTTTTGTAACAGATTATATGTCATTCACCGTGTAGTCGTGAGCATGTTGAAGATTATCGGCGTGTGTAGTCCCTGACGTCTTCATCTCGCTCTGTCGCGTCCTTGTTATAAACACAACACATGCAGGTAATTAAAGACATACAAACGGCAGTCCTCTCAACTCTCACGGATAAAGTTGAAAAATGTATGTTTGTCGCCATGTTCTTACATATCACGTGATGTCCCACTCGTAAACAATCACTCAATGTGTCACGTGAGCGTCACTCCAGGTCGCTATGTTACCTTCTTTCATACCCAGGCCCCAGGCTAAGTGATACACACTCGCAATGCCGTCTTCCCAGGCCCAGAAAAGGTGATATATCTTGGCTGACAGGGAAAAACTAACTGTTAACACAAAGTATGAAACTCCCAGACATCTCTTGGACGGCTAGTGTCGCCTACAGCACGGAAAGGGCTAGATTGTATGTCGGACAAAATGGACCACCAAAACGGCAAGCCAGCGTGGATTAGTTTCTTTGACGGGGATGTGTACCATCAATATCAGTCTTTTGTCCGAACAAGGGATTTTAACAAGGTAATATGTTTATTTACATGTTCATGAAACCCTCACAATGCCAAACACAGTCACATTCGCCCCTGTATATCCGGACCAGATACTGCTGGTAGTCATTACTGCATCAGTGCCAGAAAGCAGATGTGTTGTAACAACTCTTCATCACTGCATCAACTGTTGCATCATGCAGGATGCAATATATACTACCCATCAAAAGTTTAGACTCACTTAAAGCACTCACTATATGTTATGTATATGTATGTGGTTACATCGAAGATGAATTTCTCCACCAACTTGGGGGAACCAACTGAAAACCTTATGCAGATGAATTGCACAAGGATGATGCTTCAAATTGCGAAAGGCATGAGCAAATGTCGTGCATGTGAACAGATTCGTTTTGGTGTAAATTTTTGTTAAGAATTCGCCAATTTTCACAGATTTTAATCATTTACTGAACTCATGACAATAATCTTTTCAATGTTACGAATATGTTTTACAATACACCAGTTCATAACTAAACAGTACCTTTAAACAGTATGGAATATTTTGCAAAAAGCTAGTTTAGAACAGTGGACAAGTAAGTGGCTACATTTACACTAGTGAGTCTAAACTTTTGATGGGTAGTATAGTTGATGTGTCTGCACCTGTATTGACCAGCTCGAGTTTCACTCCTCCAACCCGTACTTTCACATGTATTAACTAGGACAATTGGGTAATCAAGTGGTTAAAGCGTTGGCTCGTGACGCCTAAGACCCCGGTTCGTTTCCCCACATGGGTACAATGTGTGAAGCCCATTTCTGGTGTCCCCGTCGTGGAATATTGCTAAAAGCGGCGTAAAACGAAACTCACTCACATGTAAAACTGCATCGTATTTAATGCCGTCTTTAACGTACGTTGTAGCAATGCCATTCTGTAATGTTACCTTTATCTAAAATCATATATATTGTATTGATTATAAATATCTCTGTGTGTGTGTGTGTGTGTGTGTGTGTGTGTGTGTGTGTGTGTGTGTGTGTGTGTGTGTGTTTTGTCCTATTAGAAGGTTAACGCATTCTGAACGACAGCAACACGCTCCGGATGATTGATCATGCTGTCTGTCCCAGCAAATTCATTAGATAGCTTCCTGAAACAACCTGTACAAGTGACAATGCGATTCGGAAAGTGTTATCTTTTTTCGTATTTGGCTCTGCTAGGTTGAGTTTCCAACAAATATTTTGGTGACGTGCTTTTGAACATATTTGACACATGCATTTACCTTGGAATAAATTTTCATAGGAATCGGAAATATAATGAAGCCATTGCATCTCTAAGAGAACAAGGCCTGAAAGCAATGTTTTGGTTGTAAGCTAAAGCAAGAAATCTACACTTATCGCCAGACTGTTAAAGCATTCGACCATGTAGTTGTACCAATATTATTATATAGTTGTGAGATATGGGGCCCTTGTAGGTTTGAAAAGTTAGAATTAGTTCATAGATTGTGTATTAAGGTGTTTCATCCACGTAAAATACCCCGGCTTATGTGTTATACGGCGAGACTGGACGCCTGCCTTTAAGTATTATTGTCCAAAAAGGAGTATTATCCTATTGGTGTAAAATTTGAGATAATGAAACCAACACAGACTTACACGTAAAATGTACGTCACTTATTCATTAGCAGTTAACAATTGTACGGAATACCAGCCAGCTTGGCTACATTATGTTAAATCTATTTTAGACGATTGTGGTTTATCATATATCTGGTATAATCAGAATTGTATTAGTAGGAATTGGCTCCTCTGTAAAGTTGAACAAATTCAGATCAGTTTATAACACAGTGGCAATACGAAAAATGTTTATCGTTTAAAGATAAAACATATGATTGTATGAAACCGTTTTTTGGTGCTGAAGATTACATGTTATTACCATTTAGAGTAATACTAGGCTTCCTGTTGAAGTAGGACGCTGGCATCATGTGCCTTTTAGTGACCGAAAGTGTTTGATGTGTAACTCAGGAGAAGTGGGTGATGAGTACCACTATATCGTTGAGTGTAATTCTTTATTAGCAGATAGAAACAAGTTATTACCAAACTATTGTTGTACAAAACCTACTTACTTTAAACTGCATAGTCTCCTTATGGAAAGAAATTACACAATTGTAGATCAGCTAAGCAAATATATTACATGTATTTATGTTAACTGTTAAAATTGCATTGATATTGCCTTGTACCAATATTACAATACTGTAGAATTGTATACTGCATGACAGTATACATGTACTATATTACTGTACCACTATAACTGTACTATGTACCACTGTGAGTGGTCTTGGTGAATAAATGAACTGAACTGAAATTTTATCCGACTATTCAGATGTACGTCTGGGCAACACGTAATGATAGGCATGTAGTATCAAGCTCTTGTGGAGTTTATTTGATATAAGATGTCATGCTGACTGAGTCCGTGAATGGGTTCTAAAGCGAGTAGTGGTAACAATGATTGTCTTCAAGTATGTACACGTGTAACACCGATAACATAGATACATGAAGCTGATGATCCGGTTTAGGTGTTTGCTGTATGTCTTGGTGTATGGGTGGGGGTGTATTGTGGTAAGTGATTGTAGCATCCTTGAACCTCGTGTTCATTTTCACTCCATTATCTGACCCCCCTGTCGTAGATCTCAGAGACGAAGACAGATGGTTGGATGTTTTTGATGTGTCTCCACTTCCCCACCATGGGAAAGTTGGTTCTCTTTTTAAAAAATAGTAACTCCCAAATGGAGTCACCTTATATGTGATTAAAAAAACACAACTGGCGGACTAACCAACCCAATTGGCCAGAATATCTACACCCGTGCTCCTCCAAGCCCACCAACGGACCCATTTCCCAAATGGCAAATAATAGAATAGACGGGGCTTGTGTGTGTAGTTATTTATAAACAAATCTGCCATATGTATTTGTTCTGATAGATGTATTAACATAAAACAAACGTTCACATTTCATGTCGACCCGCTACGGATTTCTGCTGCATGCATCACGGATTTACTTTTGAACACTTAGTGAGCTTACTTTTTTAACAATAAGGTGGTAAAACATCTTTTTCCAAGGTTTGTAATATCCTTCCTCGTCCGTGCATCACATCACTCATGCAATATGGACAATGCCTAAGTATGCTCTTTTCACTGACTATCGCTTCTTGATAAAAATGTGTATGCATCTCGCGAGGACATCAAAAGGAACGCCACTACAAATTTATTCATATTCGATCATAAAGCTCCTGGTTTTTATTGCCTAGCATGCGAGAAATGTTTTTGATTTTTCATTAATATTTGAATATTGTCCACACCCTTCCTGGTCATCAATCAGCCCTCTTGACACAGGTGTTCTGGCCTGTAGACATGTTGTTATGTAACACGTGTAATATAGCTCACAACGGAAACTATACCCCAACCAAACAGATCCTACCCCACTCACAGATACACGCAGTACGTCCACCCCAGTTCTGATCATGTTCAACAGTGAGCAGGGATCAGTACGCGATAAAACGTCGAAACACACGGTGCAAAAATATGTCGTGAGGTTAGATAATGTAAACAGTTTCCATGTTCTCAAATGGATCACTGTTAGTAGTCGATAGAAGGATTCCGATGATGTGTTAAGAGCTTTACACAAACCTTGGATGTTCAAACCACCCGTGAGCAAGCGTCTTTGAAATCTTGATGGCATGACGGATTATACGTCAAAGGTTGTGAAATAAAGACCAACCTTGTCACCCGAGACCGGATCGGCTGTAGTGTTGCTTCAGATAAGGGAAAGTTAACAAGTGCAAAGTCAACTCTCTTGTGACACAGTACTGTCCAAAGTTTGTTAGTAATTCGAAACATTTTACACATAGATCTGAATATGAACAGTCGGTACCATTGGTCTCCTTTATCTCTGTATGCAGTTCAGGTGCAATATCTGTCAGTGATCTGATTTCTGTCCCGCCTGATTCGCTAGTAACACTAAACGTTTCACAAGTTCACACTTGCTGACTCTATTTCAGCTGATTGTAACCAATAATGAAAGAGCAAGAGAAGAACCCTACATGCAAAAGCATGGATCGATATCACCGGTAACTTTATTTCAAAAACACCTGCCTTCAGAGGCTGTTGGATTTGCATTTGGTGATGCAATCTTGATTGTTCCTATAATGGTGGAATGAAGTCATTTTCGTCATGCCTTGTTATTTAAGATATTTCTCATGACTGAAATGGCCATATTGATACATTTTCAAAACCTTGAAAATATTGATATAAGCCGAAGAAGAATGTGTTTATAACATTACTCTTAAAACAAAGTAAGGGACCATGACATACATATCTTAATACCAAATATTAGAAGAAATGGAAGTGTACCTGAAAACATCGCATGCACGATCATCTATCTCAGTAAAATGTAACACCGTAACTCACCCGTTAGTTTGCACGTGCTGCACGCGATTTCGGCACACATATGGTTGTCATTCCTGATTGTACACGTCCACGGAAGACGGACTGAGTTATCTGGACCATTGTTTCTGTCTACCCTAATGCTTACACGCCGTATGATTTACTTGATTGCATTCAATGTTTGTGTCTGAACTGGGGATGTGGTGTCGGCATCGCGAGAAACGGGTACGTGTTGCTGGCATGTTAGACTCTGGCAGCTTGCAGGGAACAATACGGTAAATGTTCCACAGTTTGAAAGTAGACGCTACAATGAACGTCAAACCCGGCATATCACGATAGATTTGGCGGTGATTGGGTTATGGTACGAGCTGACATCAATGTGCGAACCGTAATCTATACCTTGCAAGGAAAGGTCATTGGACCGCGCTACTGGGACCAACACCATTGCACCCTACGATGCCCCGTCTGCAGGAGTGTTTGGGTCTGCGTTCGGTCGCTCAGGACGATGTCCTGATTACCGTGCATGAATTACCAGTGCCCACCTCCGTCAGCACAACATCGACTGAATGCTACATGGCCGGCATTGAGCCCAGACCTGTCCTCCATTGGGGACAGGATTGGGACACATGTGCCTTAACGTTAAAACCCGGCCCCCCTCGTCAGTTGAACTTGGCATGGTGCTGCAAGAGGAGTGCTTGCCGAGTGAATGAACGGTTGACAATAAAATTCAACTTCTCTCCATCTCGTGAAGAAATGCTTTTCAAATATTTACGAAGCAAAATATAGATATATCGCAACCACACCGCAAAGTGATTCTAGCAGAAGAGCACGGCCTTCCATCTGCATAATTTATGCGGCAATAAATCTCAATAGACAGTGTAAGATGAGCTGTATTGGCCAGGGGGCTTCTGACATGTTTATCAACTAAAGCGTGTGACATAGCGGTCTCCCACATCCCGTCCTGCCGCATAACCCTTGATGGACACTTGCCGACAATATACATGCCAACGGAAGGGTTACCATGACAGGTTCAGATACTAGGCCATGCCGTGGGTGTAGTCAGTATCCCTTCCTTGTGTGTGTCTTAAGCTTGGTATCGTCACTGGTCTGACTCTCAATAAAACGACCTCAACCCACGGTATTAACATCCCGGGGTGTTATATGGTATCGTCACAGGTCTGGCTCTCAATGACACGACCTCAACCCACGGTATTAACATCCCAGGGGTGTTATATGGTATCGTCACAGATCTGGCTCTCAACGACACGACCTCAACCACACGGTATTAACATCCGGGGGTGTTATATGGTATCGTCACTGGTCTGACTCTCAATGTCACGACCTCAACCCACGGTATTAACATCCCGGGGGTGTTATATGGTATCGTCACTGGTCTGACTCTCAATGTCAGGACCTCAACCCACGGTATTAACATCCGGGGGTGTTATATGGTATCGTCACTGGTCTGACTCTCAATGTCACGACCTCAACCACACGGTATTAGCATCCCAGGGGTGTTATATGGTATCGTCACTGGTCTGACTCTCAATGTCACAACCTCAACCCACGGTATTAGCATCCCAGGGGTGTTATATGGTATCGTCACTGGTCTGACTCTCAATGTCACAACCTCAACCCACGGTATTAGCATCCCAGGGGTGTTATATGGTATCGTCACTGGTCTGACTCTCAATGTCACGACCTCAACCCACGGTATTAACATCCCGGGGGTGTTATATGGTATCGTCACTGGTCTGACTCTCAATGTCACAACCTCAACCCACGGTATTAACATCCGGGGGTGTTATATGGTATCGTCACTGGTCTGACTCTCAATGTCACGACCTCAACCCACGGTATTAACATCCGGGGTGTTATATGGTATCGTCACTGGTCTGACTCTCAATGTCACGACCTCAACCCACGGTATTAACATCCGGGGGTGTTATATGGTATCGTCACTGGTCTGACTCTCAATGTCACGACCTCAACCCACGGTATTAGCATCCCAGGGGTGTTATATGGTATCGTCACTGGTCTGACTCTCAATGTCACAACCTCAACCCACGGTATTAACATCCCAGGGTGTTATATGGTATCGTCACTGGTCTGACTCTCAATGTCACAACCTCAACCCACGGTATTAGCATCCAGGGGTGTTATATGGTATCGTCACTGGTCTGACTCTCAATGTCACGACCTCAACCCACGGTATTAGCATCCCAGGGTGTTATATGGTATCGTCACTGGTCTGACTCTCAATGTCACGACCTCAACCCACGGTATTAACATCCCGGGGTGTTATATGGTATCGTCACTGGTCTGACTCTCAATGTCACAACCTCAACCCACGGTATTAACATCCGGGGGTGTTATATGGTATCGTCACTGGTCTGACTCTCAATGACACGACCTCAACCCACGGTTTTTTACATCCTGGGGTGTTATATGGTATCGTCACTGGTCTGACTCTCAATGTCATGACCTCAACCCACGGTATTAACATCCCAGGGGTGTTATATGGTATCGTCACTGGTCTGACTCTCAATGTCACGACCTCAACCCACGGTATTAACATCCCGGGGGTGTTATATGGTATCGTCACTGGTCTGACTCTCAATAACACGACCTCAACCCACGGTATTAACATCCCGGGGTGTTATATGGTATCGTCACTGGTCTGACTCTCAATAACACGACCTCAACCCACAGTATTAAACATCCCGGGGGTGTAGGATAATGTGGTCACAGGCCTGGCTCTCAGTGACACGACCTCAACCCACAGTAATAAACATCCCGGGGGTGTTATATGGTATCGTCACTGGTCTGATTCTCAATGCCACGACCTCAACCCACGCTGTAAAAATACCGGGGGTGTTATATGGTGTGGTCACAGAACTGATTCTTAATGACCCGATCTCAACACACGCTATTAACATCCCGGGGGTGTTATATGGTGTGGTCACAGGTCTGGCTCTCAATGACACGACCTCAACCCACGGAGTAAACATCCGTGTGTGGAGTGGTGTGGTCACATGTCCAACCGTCATGGACACACACTACGATATATACCTGTACCTCCTGAGTGTGGGACATGGTGACTGAACGGGCCTGGTTGACCTACTCACACCATAACCACACTGTATATACTTCCGGGTGTGTGACATGTTGTCTGAACTGGCCTGTTTCACAGTAAGACACTCGAACCAAAGAGTGCATGACTTCCGACTGTGGGGCAATTGCTTACATGTCTCCCGAGTGTGCGACATATATGTCTTCACAGGTCTGTGATGTACTTTCCGCTTACACGAAATGACTCCTGTCTATTATTCACGGCACCTTTACAGTTTCTGCCGAATACCGCCTTATTGAAAATTCAATTACATTGAAAAATCAATAGTTTTTCTAAGTTTGTTTTTATCCTAGAGAAAAGTCAACTTCCCCTACCTATTTCGCACTAATACAGAAAAATCTGTGTACACAGAATTTCTGAATATATTAAATTATCGGTCGTATGGCATCAGATCACGTACAGGCAGCTTGCTTACCTCGGACACTGCAGCAGCTTCTGTTATCGTTACTCTTAGTACGTAGACACTTCATGCATTATTCTTGGCAGCTTAAAATCTACTCAGAGTATACTTAGGGTGTATTTTAATGTACTTAGAAAGAGGTATGCGGTACTCAGGTCACGGTCACACTGTTGCTGCATGCAGATGTGACACAAACAGTACACTACAGGTCCAGTGTACAGTACAGCAGAATACACAAATATACAAAGATTCAAACACGAAGTGGAAGATAGTATATCATTTATATTTCCCATTTTCCGAGTGTGTTCTGTTGTTTCATATGTTTAGCTATTCTTTGGAGGAACCATGTTATATAGTCACATTGTTGATGTCAAATGTGATGATGAACTCTCTCAGTCACAAACTCAATAACTGAGAAGAATACCACTAAGTAATATGTTGCAATATCAAGACCCAATCTTCTCAACTGACTACCTACAGATCCTCCAAACACAACGAGCCGAGGATTCGTCCAAACTGCAGGATCTCAAACCCTGGCCTCAACAGGAAGTGGCGTCACATCCAGCAGACGATCCAATCACAAACCCGGATGCAGAATACTCGGAGATCCCTGCAGACAGAACACTTCCGCCCGACGTCATCTTCCCTTCAGCCGAGGAAGCTAAGGCTCGACGAAAAAGAACTCGAACATACGTTCTACTCGGTATCCTCGTCATGTCCCTAGTCGCCATGTTGGTGGCTCTGCTGCTTCACTTTCATCTTCAAAAATGTGAGTGCAACATATACATCACTTTCTCGATTATGTCATGTGAAGTACATGATATTCAAGACGCTTATGACATATTATGATCATCAGGTTGTTAACATCACAGCTGTCATCATTCATAGTGGGCGAGATTGTAATTGGCTGACATGGATGTCGTGAACGGCTGAGGTAGACGAGCCACTTTAGTGACCTTGAACCTGCAGAGTGTTCTCACAGCCCTCTTTATCCAGATGGCGCTAGTGCGGCAGTGGCACCCATGGCAGTTATGAGCAATATGTCTTTTTCATGCAAATGATGAGACATTATGCGCTGAGTAGGTTTCTTAATATTTAGTGTAAGATTAAAGTCCACTCGTCGTGTCTTCATGTTTTCGAAAGGAAATAGAACATGCTGCAGTCAGACCCTGCACTAGAGGTATATTATTTACATATGAACATTGATAGTATGTACAAAAAACACGGCCTGATGAACTACTTACTGAAAATATCAAACTACATCAGAACAACGACCAGGCCGTTCTGTGATCATGTCAGTGCGTTGGAGACCAAGGACCAACGAGGGTTGTTCTAAAATTCATAGAAGTGACGTAGTTGAGTACAGTAGAAAGGTTGAACATCAAATGTGATCTGTAAAAAATTAATCAGTGATACATATACAAAATACATTGTTGTTTTTTCGTTCTGTTTCCCATGATTTCAGTTTAAAGTAATGTGAAGTCTCCAGATCTCCGGATAGTTGTTTGTTTAAAGGCCCAAAAGAGCGTTTGGGAATTTAAGAAGTTCGTGGAGGCGGTTCGTAGCCCATGCCTTGTGTTATTGCTGTTCTATTGCTGAAAACGGCTTAAACTATTACTGACCGACTCACTAAATCAGTAGTAACTAGGTATATTCTGCAATGTTTTCATTCCGTATTGTGTGTTCGTGTTTTTTTCAATATAAATACTGTTTCTCCGTCAGCTCTGTTTGGGAGCGCTTCCCTCACGGGTGGTGGAACAACGCCCTTGCCCCCGGGCTTTGGAAGAACCAGCTCCCTCCAGGCCACGGACAGGTCGGGTGCAAATACGAAGAATGGTCAGCGGCTGGGGGTGCAAATAACATTGAAGTATCAAATGCATGTACGTCTCAGCGGCTGGGAGTAGCGGCCATGAAATAGTAACATTGAAAATAGTATCAATAGTGACAGCTGCAGTAGTAACAGTAGCAGCAACGACATTAAAATAGTAGTAACCATAGTAGTTACATTGGTAGCAGTAGTAGTAGTAGTAGTTGCAGCAGCATTAATGGTAGTAGCGTCAATATAAGGAGATACAGTAGAACGTAGTTGTAGACGTACTACTGGGGGACATGTCCGTGATGGCACAGTCCATGAAGATACGCTGCACGTGAGGAAAGTACGATTGACAAAACAAAACAGCTTCATGCGTCGTTCTGCTGATACTGATATTTTCTTCCTCAGCTTTTTTCCATCATCCTGATCCTAATTTTCTGAAAACTATATCCCGGGACGCCAACAAAGTCATCGGTGACTTACCTCCCTTTGAGCCTGCCAAGTTCCCCAATGACGTCACCATGATCCCCACATCCGGAATCGAGGCTTCAGTTTTCGGCAAGAGGCCAGGTAAATTGATCCAAGTGTTTTTTTATGCTCAAAACCAAACACTAATTAACTACAAGCTTTCCATATCGCCACGAAACGATAAATACTGAGATTTCTGATATTGCACTTTGGTTTTCTCAACTACTGTTAAGGACGCTTATGGTGCATGCCTATCAGAAATGTGTGCCTCATATTACAATACATACCCCAAAACCAAGCGTCAACAAAGGTTCTTTGCCGAAGCTACGTCATAATCTCTTATCACTAGCAACCGCGGTTGGGTAGCATAGTGGGTAAAGCTTTTGCTCGTCACTCCGAAGACACGAGTTCGATTCCCCACATGGGTACATGAAGTCCATTATTGTCTCAAAACAAAGTTGTTGTGGCGAATGGATACCGGGTTATTTATTATAGTAAAATGGGTACATAATCCACTGGATAATCGAGGGTATCTCCGCAGCTCCTATCACCATGGCAACCCCCAATGTTGTGTCCACGCTATTGGAGCGGGAACTGCAGCTCAAGTGCCTGATCCGTGGAGAGGGAGACTGGCAAAGTTTGGCCATTGTCAGACTGGCAGATACGGGGACAGGGGACACGCTGGAGGTGGCCAAGTTTTCTACAACACCTGATGCAGCATCTGGAGCAAGAACCGACCGGAGGGTCAAATATGACGTCAGAAAGTCCGGAAATGACGTCACGTTCATTGTGACAATTTCCCATCCAGTGTGCAGCGATGACGGGTTTTACCAGTGTGTGGTGACCTTGACCCCGGGGGTCGTGATGACCTCAAGGTTCAGAGTAACTCTCTCTTGTAAGTACCCGATGCGCATACTCATAAATAACACGCTAAATGTAATGCCAAAACAATTCAAAATGTGTGTCACTCTTAATAAGTGAAGGAAATATGTAAGCTTGTGTCTGTGCGTGCGTGTGTGCGCGCATGTGCAAGGGTACATTACATATTCAGTTGTTTACCTATGCATTTTTTGGTCTTTCCTCCAAAAAACTGTTTCTTCGTTCTCCAACAGCTCCCTCCCAGGGCCCCGTGCTGCACGTGCCAGACGAGATAGTGGAGGACAAACCTACCCGGTTGAAGACCACCTGGGATGCCGGAAATCCAGAATTCAATGGAATCTTAGAATGGGACATTTTGGACAACAACACCTGGTCAGAGTTGTCCTACACTGAGTACCAACAAACACAAACTCGAACCAACTGCTCCACGATCATAGAGAGTCAGTTCCTAGTGACGCCCAAACTGGCGTGGAATGCGACAAGGATTCGGGCGAGTGTTATTCCCACCCCTTCGTTTATGGACACGGCGGACACAGCGGCTGGTGTCAGTCTGGAATCTCAACATGAGGAAATACTAGTAGTGCCAGGTAATGTGTATATCGGCAGATTTAGCAGGCCTTTAATCAGTTGATAGTGTTCTACAAAAATAACATGTAATGACTAGTTTGAAGGTTACACACACGTTTTTATTGCTATGAGAAAAGACAAACAGCCATAGCTCGTACGTAACTCTCGCGTAACTATTGGGTAGAGGCTGGCCTTGGCCTTGCGTTATGTAACAAATATGCTTGGTGGACACATGTCATCGGTTCCCAATTGCGTACATCGTTGATCATGCTGCTGATCACTGGATTGTCTGGTCCAGACTCGATTATTTACAGACAACCGCCATATAGCTCGAATATTGCTTAGTGCGGCGTTGGACAACAAACCAACCAACCTGTTGCACTATTGAGGAGAGAATGAATAACCAAACAAATATAAATATTATTACTCCAGGACCACCTCGAGGCTGACGTCAACATGCAGTCAATGGCTTGTAGACATGATATTCAAATAATGTGTAAACAATTTGTTTCAGCTGACGTGTGTAACGGTTCAAGTAACGGGACGTTCATCAGCCATCCGTACACCTGTCACAAGTTCATCAGGTGCATCGACAACGACATCTTGGTGTTTGTTTGCCCATCTAACCTCTGCTTTGACCTTGACCCCGAGACATGTGTCAAAGCATCTGATCACGTGGTATAGTCTACACATCCTTAACACTCAAGAACATCAACGAACACCGGCTATTACATACGTTGGCAAAGATCTGTATGCCTTAAAATGTCCGGCGATGCTTTGTCAGTACTCGTCAGAAATCAGCAGTACTCGTCAGAATAAGAGCGACATCCCATCAACTCATCCCTGAAGACCTTATCAGCTTTAAGTGATGACTATGTACTATATAGGAGAAGGTTGTAGTGATGACTATATACCTAAGAGAAAGTTGTAGTGATGACCTGTGTTCCAGTCATACAATTCCCACCGTCACTGTGCCTGTTATGCCCAATGGAGTGTATTTAGGCGGATAATCCAAACTGGTCATTCTCTGACTTTGACGTATATTTACATCACATAACATATTGCTGCAGTGTTTGTCTAAGTGTGGCCAGTTTTACCATTTCTTTTATGCAACTTGTACAACAAACACGTTCATTTCAAAGTGGTAACATGGACTTTAGGGTTGGGCAACATTGACATCTTATGTAGACTAACATATAGTCTCTGTAATGAACATGTTGTACAAGAAAAAAACTGTTCATAAAAAATAATCATTAAATTGATGAAAAGGAGACCAGAGACTTTCTTCATTTCTCTGGAATTTTAGACTTGATATATATTATAGACTTGCATGGGCTTTCTATGATATATTTGTTTCAGGGTAGACGTGGCAGACTACCTGCTATCCTGACTATGCACCTACTATGGTACATGACACATATAGTGAACAGAACAAATATGTGTCTAGTACTGACGAAATGATGTCAAGTACAAAATGAAGCTAATGACTTTCCCTGATACTGAGGGAAGACTTGTTTGCCCCATAGTTAACGTCACATCTCGTCACCCAACGTCATATAACGTCACTTCTAACGTCACACACAACGTCACTTACGCGTCATATAACGTCACCCAACGTCACATCTAACGTCACACCCAACGTCACATATAACGTCACACCAACGTCACACACATGCAACGTCTAACGTCACACCCGTCAATAACGTCACGCAACGTCACATATAACGTCACACCCAACGTCGTCGTCACACCCAACGCCAACAAACTGACGTCACATATAACGTCTTCATATCAGCGTCCCCAACGTCACGATCAATTCAAGGTTTTAAAGTCACCCACGTCAGATATGTGCCCTCTGCGTTACTCCAGTTCCTTTGTGATCACTGTGTTTGTCATTCTCTTACTGTTCTCATTGTATAAGAAGTCATTATGGACTTGGGGAGGTGGAGTAGCCTAGTGGTTAAAGCGTTCGCTAGTCACGCTGAAGACCCGGGTTCGATTCCCTACATGGGTACAATATATGAAGCCCATTTCTTGTGTCCCCCGCAGTAATATTGCAGGAATATTGCTAAAAACGGCGTAAAACTACGCTCACTCACTCACTATGAACTACTAACTGTGTGCAAAAAAGTAGAGCTTCAACAGAAAAACAGAGCAACAACAAAAAGATCCCCAGAACGTTTGAGTATGAAGCATTGGTTGGTTTTTGATACGTGCTTTTTGCTTCATTCCTTTTGAGAACCAGTGATGTCGCCACTGGTAAATGAAAGCGACGCCATGTACGGTGGCAGATTTATTACCGGACTTCCCGCATTGGTACGGAATCATGGGGTCACACGTCACACCTCATTGTTATATAAATGAGGCCATGGGTAGGGAGGACAACATCGAGACATGTCAGTGTTAAAACAAAATCCAACTTCAGTATGGACAGTGACTGTATCATCCACAGACACAAACGTTTTTAAGTTATGATATACACAATATTGCATCCCTGTACATCTCTTGATCTGTACATTTAATTATTGATCTGAACCTCTAATTGTTGATCTGAACATCTGAACATCTAATTGTTGATCTGAACATCTAATTGTTGATCTGAACATTGAAATGGTGGTCTGAACATCTGAAGATCTAATTGTTGATCTGGACATCTGAACATCTAATTGTTGATCTGAACATCTGAACATATAATTGTTGATCTGAACATCTGAACATCTAATTGTTGATCTGAACACCTTAACATCTAATTGTTGATCTGAACATTGAAATGGTGGTCTGAACATCTAATTGTTGAACTGGACATCTGAACATATAATTGTTGATCTGAACATCTGAACATCTAATCGTTGATCTGGACATCTAATTGTTGATCTGAACATCTGAACATCTAATTGTTGATCTGAACATCTAATTGTTGATCTGAACATCTAATTGTTGATCTGGACATCTGAATATATAATTGTTGATCTGAACATCTAATTGTTGATCTGAACATCTAATTGTTGATCTGAACATCTGAATATCTAATTGTTGATCTGAACATATGAATATCTAATTGTTGATCTGAACATGTAATTGTTGATCTGAACATCTAATTGTTGATCTGAACATCTGAACATCTAATTGTTGATCTGAACATCTAATTGTTGATCTGGACATCTGAACATCTAATTGTTGATCTGAACATCTAATTGTTGATCTGAACATCTAATTGTTGATCTGAACATCTGAACATGTAATTGTTGATCTGAACATCTAATTGTTGATCTGGACATCTGAACATCTAATTGTTGATCTGAACATCTAATTGTTGATCTGAACATCTAATTGTTGATCTGAACTAACTCTTTGTACCATGTCCTGTATTCTGATGTCAACGGACAGTCAGACTTTCCAGAATTTACATATAGGAATACTAATCATCATTAGTAGAAATCTATGAAGCTGGTAATGTGAGGATTGAGGACTGACATGTAATGTACATTAAAGACGCTGAATTATATTATATTATTAGATTATCGCACTGTTTATCTTTAATAAAGTCTTTCACTCACACACGCACGCACAAACAGACCCAAAGACCCACATACACTGATGTCCAAAAAAGACAACTAGCTTTGGAAACTTTGAGTGCGCCAATAACAGAAAGGTAACTGAACTTTATTCAAGTCTTCAGGAAAACAGTTAAAATATAAATTGTTGTGGTTTTATTGGGATTTTCTATAGTATTGACTGACTGACTGACTGAGTTTAGTTTTACGCCGCTTTAGCAATATTCCAGCAATATCACGGCGGAGGACACCAGAAATGGGCTTAACACATTGTGCCCATGTGGGGAATCGAACCCGGGTCTTCGGCGTGACTATAGTATTGAAATATCATGTACATACCAACGCTTCAGCATGTAATTAAAACCAAATATAATACACTATCTGTGTCGGGCTAGTTACACTGTGTATTAGTGGTGTTCCGTTTAATTGAAATAATCGAAGATTGGTCGAAGTGACCAAACGACCAAGCAATCGATCACATTTTCTCGTAATCGAACACAAACGATTTTGGAACTGCTGTTTTAGTGTTTGAAACACTTGACGATGGAACATATCTTCGAAGTTGTCAGGGCCTGAAAACTTGTTTAATTCTTAGAAAACTCAATTCACTAACTGAAAAGTCATGACTGAATATTTCTTGAAGACTCCAGAAAGTTTATGTTAATGATATATTACTCATCACTTTAAAGTAGTAAGTTGCATCATGTTATACATATCTACAATAACAACCTTGGTAGGAAAATCTGAAAAATGACGCTAACCATTTTTTTTCGATGATTGTTCTTACAATGAAGCAATAATCATCAATTGTGAGATTTCAACCAATTCCCAACACTACTGTGTATGCATCTCGACACGCCCCCTCCGCTATCAGGAATCTGCTGTAGCCGGTGCTTAAGTTTCATTATTTATCTAAACACAACGTACATTACCACCCATTAATGAGGCAAATCTCCCAAAAGTATTGAATTAAAATAAATAACGTTTTAGCTTAATCATTTATATCAATATATGAGCCGAGTTAATTTAATTGTTTTCCCTACAATACACACTACCATGGCGTGTTATCGATGGCAGATTTTGAGAGGGGAGGTGTTGCAGAGGGCCATTTTCCTGGCGTTGCGTTTCCTCGGGTTGTCGCAGTATTGTGTAGTTTTCCTCAACAAGTCCCTGTGATACTCCAGTTATTTTACAGTACTTCGATGACTGATTACTTAACAACTTATATTAATTGTGTATGCAAAACCTTTCTCGTCACTATATGGCTGAAATATTGCCGAGGTGACGTTAAATTTTAACTCACTCACGAACTCAACAAGTTCCTATACCACCCAACAGTGGACACGGCGGAATGACTGTTCCTTCTGATTAGTATCGGCAATCTCCGTCTAAGGGATATAACTCTGCCTGGCCTGGTAGGGAAGACCGTGTCCAAGTATCTTGTTACTGTGCCCCTGTTTTATAATGAATAGTATCAACGCAACACATATACGCTCATTAAATAATCGGATGCATTAGGTATGTTTAGAAATGAAATATACTATGGTTGAATAAAATATCAAAAGTGACCTAAATGATACTAACATGTATTTTGTGGTATGAAGCGAAGGAGAATGTGATGGCTGACGCCGCTTCTTGCACAATTCAATACCTGTCAGCTCGACTGACTGACTGAGTTTGGTTTTACGCCGCTTTTAGCAATATTCCAGCAATATCACGGCGGGGAACACCAGAAATGGGCTTCACTCATTGTACCCATGTGGGGCTTCGAACCCGGGTCTTCGGCGTGACGAGCCAACGCTTTAACCACTAGACTACCCCACCGCCCCTCCTGTCAGCTCGAACTTGGAAATCGAAACTGAGGTTGATGCTACGATAAAAAGGTTTAACAAATGTCCGCCCGACCAGCATTCAGTCATACGTTCATACTTTGATGGTAATTTCAGATACCAGAAGCAAAAAGTATCATTTAGTCTTTAATGGAGTGTCGTATCATCTGCTTCTACTACTACTGGTATTATGGATGCCATGTTGTATGGGCGTGTTTGAGGGTTTATGGAGGGCGGGGTGGGGTGGGGGGAAACAGTAAACTATGGAGATGGCGTTCGATTCACACACGTTGTCCGTATGATAGGATACCTGTATATTAGAATACCTGTATATTAGGATACCTGTATATGAGGATACAACCACATATGACATTAGTGAAGGAGTTAGTGAATCGCCCTGTACGTTTGTCAGTATTTTGCCATTAGAAAGGGATTCAGTGACTGGAAGAGATTTGAACCCGGGGCCCCATGTGACAAGTACAAGTCTAAAGTTACCTGCCCTACCGCTCAATGGAGCCCACCGTGAATGTCCTGGTCTATGATTCTCTTGTTTCAGTAAGGGACCCATCCTCGATAATCTCCAGGGTATACGTTACGATCACTCTCCACTATACCCTGGATGCATCCACGGCTTGGCCCGATGATTTTATTACCTCCCTTGGCTGGCTTTTTATCCAATCAGGTGTCTACGCTGGGAAGTTGAGCGAACCAATCACAACTCACTTTCGCTTCTTAAATTATCTAACCGTTTAAACTTGGCAACACAATTGATGCAGAAAGTACTCTGAAAGATGTGGAAGAAGTTCTTTTATATATTTTTTGAAAGTTTCAGATCTGTCAATTTGTCTGTATTATTTCTCCAAAAATCTGAGTGGTACTGCGAACAAACCTTCGCGACTGCGACCGCTATCTTTGGCAAGCTCAGCAAGCTCGGATGTAACGGCGGCGTAGCTGATTGGCTACTGTGAGAATGCGGAACCAGCAAAGGGAGGTAATATAATTATCGGGCCAAGCCGTGGATGCATTCAGGGTATAGTGGAGAGTGATCGTAACGTATACCCTGGAGATTATCGAGGATGTAAGGGACCCTGATCCGCTACATTTGTATCGAGACCATCATCAGTAGTACTAGTTGTAAGGTTTGTAGTGTTAAAGCATTATATATCTCCGACATTAATAACGATTTGCGCCGTTTAAGATAGTATGATTGTTCTTGCCTCATTAAAATATGTTTGTTGGATTGGCAGTTGGACATGGTGCTAGTATTAGGGTGCGTGGTTGCTGTGATGGTGAGTAAGTGAGTACGGTTTTACACCGCTTTTAGAATATTCCAGCAATATCACGGCGGGCACACCAGGAAAGGGCTTCACGCATTGAACCCATCTGGGGAATGGAACCCGGGCTTCAGCGTGATGAGCGGACGTTTTAACCACTAGGCTACCTAACCGCCCCTGTAGTAGTAGTAGTAGTAGTAGTAGTAGGTAGTGTTGTTCGTAATTTGTTTGTTTGTTCGTTGTATAATCTTGGTTCACATTTGGCCTGCCATGAGTCTACGGCGCCCGTAAACTACCCGTAGCTCCATTTCCGTGCGGTCGCCGTGCGATTATCGCACGATTCTACAGGTGCCGTTGCCTCTACGATTTTGTCAAACAGCGAAGTTTGACAAAATTGAAAAAGTCGTCAGCCCGTAACCCGTAGGTGGCATCGCACCGGCACTGCACGGAGGCCGCACGGTGATCGTAGGATCGTGGGACACAGTGAGGTCTCCGTAAGATCTCCGTACGATGTCTGTGCAGCCTCCATGTAGGTTTGCCTCTACCTGTCCCCAAAGAAATTGCATGATACCCGGAAACAATGTGAATACAATGTGAACTCGAGGTCACCCAAGTTGCCTAAAAAATCGTACGGAAAATCGTAAACTACTTTATCGTACGAAGCCCGTGACAAATGTGATCCATGTTCTGAACGCCGCACTCAGCATTATTCGAGATATATGGCGGCGGTCCACACAATCTAGTGATCAACAGCATGAGCATCGATCTACGTAATTGGGATACGATGGCAGTGAGCCTGACCACCCGATCTCGTCTGTCGCCTCTTACGACAAGCATGGTTTGCTGAAGACCAATTCTAACCCATATCAACATGGGTGTGGGTATAAGTAGCATCATCAGCAACAGTCGTAGTCGTAGTCGTAGTAGAAGATTTAGTAGTAATAGTTGTAGTGGTAATGGTTGTAGTAGATGTAGTGGCAGCAGCAGTTACCCGTCAGAACTGGGCCTAGATTTTCGAAGCTCTCTTAGCGCTAAGATAGTCGTAAGTTAATGTTAATGTATGGCACTTACGACTATCTTAGCGCCAGTAGAGAGCTTCGAAAATCTAGGCCCTGGTCTGTAGCAACCCATGCTTATCACGAGAGGCTGTTTCAGACTTGCTGATACGTGTCACCCAATCCCAAAATGCGTACATTGATGCCGTTGAGTCACTTGCATGTCTGTACAGACTCGACTATTTACAAGCCAGGGTCATAAAGCTGGAAATTGCCCTGCTTCAAACAACAAACAACACAGTAGTAGCGGTAAAATAAATGTAATTACTCCATGTCATTGTTAAAGCACTTTTTATTTCAGATACGATCACAAATTCGGTATCAGTGTCAATATCACTTACATATTTACCTGTTAGCTAAAATCAACAAATAGTGTTGTTTGTATTCAATTTCATTATTGCATCATTACAAGCAATTATTCAGAGTAACAGAATATCTAAAGTGAGTGATGCATTCTATGCATACTGCCGTTTAACACAACAGACATGTGACAAAAGCACTCTTTGATGACACGGCTGTGAAGTGAGTGCATTTTCTTGTCAGATGAGAAATATGTACAGAGTTACTAAATCAATGATTTCTAATCAAATCAAAATGCACATGAGAAGCCGCAATATATTTATTTCCACTGAGTTGACTCACCCGTCCTGATTCATCTCGTTCAAACGTAACCCAGATTATTTATCAGATCGGATGACAATTGCGAGTTACCGCCCTTGATCCGAAGAGCATTATAGAGATATATCGATCGGAGGACTTACCTGGCTCGGCTGAACGTAACTTTAGCTGTTGACGGTGTGGTGTTAGTATTGATGCCCAAACCGACAAGGGGATTACCAGCAGCGGCAGGTGACGCTCGGTCCGCCCCTTCCCCACGGGACGATGTCTGACAACCAGCGCCACGACCCCTCCCCGTCCCTCTCGGGGGTGGGGAACCTTTCAACTAAGGGCCCAGAGGATACTTGGGAGCAGATCCAGCACAAGACATTCTCCAACTGGGTGAACGAACAACTGACCACCAGTGGACGAACTGTGGACAATTTAGCCACCGATTTTTGTGATGGTGTTAAACTCGTGGCCCTAATCGAAGCCTTACAGTTTAGAAAGATTGGTCGTGTTTATACCAAACCCAGAAGCAAAATTCAGATGTTACAGAATGTTCAGCTAGCGTTTGAAGCCATTGCAGAGGATCAAATCCGACTCGTGAATATAGGTGAGTGTGTCATATATCAATTTCACGTATGCAAACACATAGCCACATAAACAGAGACACGCCCGCCTTATTGGATTAAGATAACAACTCATGCGATACAAAGTCGTTTCTCAAACACTCTGCTGTATTACGATATGTTGTATTATGTTATAATGGGCGCGACATGTCAGTAAAATGGTCATGCATAGCCAACACAGGCAGGTGTGGCTGATTTGATATAACAGAAGTCACTACAGGACTGACCCCAGGTGACATTCCGCTGGTGCTAGCGATTATATTGCCATGTTGTCGGCGAGACTGACAGACCTGAGTGTAACTGTGTGATATCCGCGTAGACTATGTGAATACACAATCACCTGGAGCTTTATAAAAGTGAAGTTCTTGTTAACTTGGATTCTTGGCCCGTCCTTGGTCACTCCTCTTTCGCAAACCGCTTTCCTCTCTATGCCTTTCTTCCTGGAATTTCCCTGTTTTCTTGGAATTAAATTCCACAACATACTGATCTACAATGCCTCGTCTGCATTCATTCATTAATTATCGTCCTCCTTTTGTCGTGTTGAGATCTTTTTGGACAGGTGATTCCCTCTCTGCTCACTGTCCGTCCGTCCCACTATCACTGGCTGGGTTTACTATATGTATCCTGATGTGTAATATGGTAGACTGGGAATTTTTACCTTACATAATTCATCCCAAGTAATATTGCCTTGCATCTACCGTCAGCTCCATCGCTATTTTTGTACTCCCCACCCCCTCACACACACACCCTCACCTCTCTCTCTCTCTCTCTCTGTCTCTCTCCGTCTCTCTCTCCCTGCCCTCTCTCTCTGTCTCTCTCTTTCTGTCTCTCTCTCTTTGTCTGTCTCTCTGTCTGTCTCTCTCTCTGCCCCCTCTCTGTCTCTCTCCCTGTCTCTCTCTGTCTATGTCTCTCTCTCTCTCTCTCTCTCACACACACACACACACACATACACACAGAGTCTACCTCTCTGTCTTTCTCATACACAAACACAAACATAAACATTCTCCAGTCATGACGCATCGTTGTGTCAGTATATTCTGTAGTGAACAGTTCACCAGATCAGAGCGTAACAAAGAGGGTTGTAAATGGACTATTTTATTGCGAGAAATACACCACGGCTCACACCACAAAGGTACAGACAACCCTTTTAAACAGCTGCTCACAATGCAGCACACACATTTAATTTACATCACAAATATGTGTGTTTGTGTAATATATTCTATGGAGGTAATATGAGGCCCGACAAGGAAGTAACCGGAGACGCTTGGATGGTTAGTCACGATGTATTATGGAGAGAGTGAATACAGTTAGATACACAGACATATGGTATAAATCAGGGATATGTTGACGGAGGCAGGGGGACATCGAGAAGTAAGGACTGCACATACAACCGGAACCACCGTTACTTCGTTATAACAGAACTTCGATATGGGGAGTGAGTGAGTGAGTGAGTGAGTGAGTGAGTGAGTGAGTGAGAGGAGTGAGTGAGTGGAGTGAGTGAGTGAGTGAGTGAGTGAGCAATATTCTAGCAATATCACGGCGGGGGACACCAGAAATGGACATTGTACCAATGTGTGGAATTGGACCCGTGCCTTCGGCGTGACGCGCGAACGCTTTAACCACTAGGCTACCCCACCGCCCCTCGTCTACATAAGCATTCCTAATTACGGATACTGTCAAATCTGAATATATCGAATTTTCTCTCCACATCTAATCGGTACAAAGAGAGCTTGCTGTGGAATACTCATAAAAATACAATACGTATGTCTTGTAGATGGACACGTGACACTTGGAGACACAGTTAAAACCGAATATGTCGAGGTCGGATATGGGTCTGCATATGTGTTAGCCGAAGTGTATTGGATAAGTTGTTTAACGCCTCGCTGAAGAATATTACCTGGATGACGCCGGTTTGTCAACAGTTGAATCTGTACAAAACAATCCGATGACCGACACTGGGATGAGGTGTCAATCAAATCAGGTGATTTTCACCATCCGATCGATTTAGCCGCCTCTTACGGAAAGCATAGATCACCTGGGACTAGACCACAGTCTGACGGTGACTAGGATACAACTGAGTTCGAAGATGTCGTTTGTTCCAGAGTATTGTAAGACATCCTTGATGTGACAGAAGAGAAAATGAAGACTTGATTAAAGAGACAATCAAGTCTGGCAATATTAGCCTGTCAGGATGCGACAGCTGAAACAAGACGTGGCGCTAGAGAAAAACAAGACGTGACGAGAGAGAGAAAAACAAGACGTGACGAGAGAGAAAAACAAGACGTGACGGGTATGACAATAGAGATGAGACCATCAGGACGTTACAGGTGAGACAATCGAAAAGTGAAATCTGAGACAACCGATGCGTCACAGGTGAGACATTCCAAAAGTGACGAGTGAGACAATCAGGACGTTGCAGGTCAGACAATCAGAAAGTCATGAGTGAGACAATTAGGGCGTGACAGATGGTGAGACAGGTAAAACGGAGAATAGAACAAGCAATACCTGTAAGGTGAGATCAAGATGTGACATGTATGTCAGCCAAGGACTGACTTGAGACAATCACAATGTGACATGTCAGACAATCAAAGCGTGACTTATGTTCGCATTCGTATGGCGTGACAGGTAAGACAGAAGGTTCCTCTGTGCACATAGCGTTATAGAGGAGTAACTCGAGAAAGGACATCATGACAACAATCCATATGTCAGCACAACGAACACTGACATTCCAGATGCTAAATTTGCCAGGTGAACTTTGAGACCACGACTCGTATTGTGTATATAGTGATACCACAGGCACAGGCAGACCCAGACACGAGGGAGGGAGGGATTGTTGCTGATCCGTCTTGCGTATGGACTCAACTCAATGAGATAAGACCTCTACCGTAATGCAGGTAGTTAAATCACACGGAGCAAACAGCCAGACAATAAAAAAAAGTTGTTTAAGAAACTGTCATCATTTATTTATGCGTTTTCCAAGTTTGTTACAAGGGCACAGTGGCAACTAAAGGAACAGCGCCAAAAGCGAGATGCACGTGCATTAGTGACGTCAGAGACATGTGATAACTGCTGATTGACAAAGTGAGAGAAAATGAAAGTCCAAAATTTACAAAGTCTATGATTTCTTCAAGGATGAAAATGACAGGAGGTGACCCAAGTATGCAATTACTAAGTACATACAGCGCACTGCCTGTGAAGCTGGGGTACGTGTCATCTCGCCAGCTCAAAAATTGTTGAGAACCCGTTAACGCACGTGCATCTCGCTTTTCGCGATGTTCGTTTAGTTGCCAATGCGCCCTTGTAACAAACTGGGAAAACGCACAAATAAATGATGACAGTTTCTTAAACAACTATTTTATTTTTGTGACACAAATTATGCAACTTTTGGTCTGTTGTTTTTATTGCAGTCCGCGTTGGTTTGATTCTTTAATGTCGATTTGGTTTTGCGTTAGATTGCAATTCATCGGTATCATTTTGTCTCAAACGGACTGTAATTGTTGTTGATATGACAGGAAAGCGAGGAGGTTCGTGTGTCCAGATTTAGTGTCGTGCCTCATGAATAGTGTCAATGTATAGTTGGGATGAATTTATTATTTCTGAATCATTTCTGGAGCAAGTAAAACACCCCCGACTATGTAAATACAAGAAGTCTACCTTAACTAAATACTATCACAGGGTTCAAATTCTCTCGTACTGCCAATATGTGTCACGAAAGTGTGATTTATACATACTCGCATAAACATTTCATTCGCAGTTGTTACTGATTCAAGACAAAACATTTTCTTGAGCTAAAATTTACCGGTTAGTAATCGTAATTTTTTATGCGGAAAAGGGAATGATATGAAACAAGAAATTCATTTTGAACACTATTGAAGGTTCACATTGAGTTCATCAAAGTGTTTCCTAGCAACGTACAATAACTTCCTGTAACGGAGGACATGTGGTTTGAGGCTTGTCGCCTGAACCTTCCTCTCATTGCGGTGGAACTGTAGCCACATATTAATGTGATACTGTGTTCGTGTTGCCCAAGCATTAGGGTATCAGCTCCGTGCAGTGTCAACAGCCAGCGTACTTTCCAAGGAGACATCAAGGCGTAAACTATTTTGATTTATTGGACATGCAACTTGTTGCCCGGAGTTGTACAAAAACTACCCGCGTCAAGTCCCTCGACATTCACAGATTGTCAAGATAACAGGGTCATGCTGTACACAGAGACATTGTATTAGGACACAGCATAATGTATGCCTATCGCGTCTGTCATTAACATTTGTAACGGACATTTGTATATAATCTAGTATTAGCCCAGTAACCTAGTGATTGATGTTATGAGCATGGGTACGGCTCAGTTTAGTTCAGAATATTTTCCTAAAACCGACCGTGATACAAAGGTATACATGTACAATGTACAATATACATTCAATAAGGTTAAGATGACAACTTATTCAAGAGATATTGACACTATCATGCAGTAATATATTAGATGTGCCATACATCTGCGCCGATTTATAGTACATATCGGTATGGGCATATATTTTAGATCATAATGTTTTACGTAATTAATGGATAAAAGACCATGTAACCATTTTTGGGAATGTATATAAGGAAACCGTTTTGGAGACGGTGTTCACACCTATATATACAAATGGTGAAACTCGTCTCCTGCAGCAAATGAGTTGCGTGGAGTTCACACGCGGTCTTCCCTCGCCATCGCCATGGGTTCAACTTTTGGCGGAAATAGTAGGACATTATCGAATTCTGGTAATTCTTCTTAAGTGTTGGTAGTATAAACCTTTTGAACTTTTGAATGAATTGATCTTGTAGAATTATTCTCATGACTTGAACCAGGCATGGCGAATGTGGAAATACCTCTGACAGTCCTACACTATTTAGTAGGCTACTTGTTTTACTGTCTCTATCCATATATATGAGTTTTCATTTCCATCATAATTTAGTGTCATATTACTATACTGGTAATGAGATATTT